AAACCTGACTGCCTGTTATGTGCCAGCCACTTTTCTACATGATAGGAATTTAGAAGTAAATGAAATAAACAAAACCTCTATCCTCAGAGGACTTGTGCCAACTTTTTTTTCTTTATTTTAATAAACTTTTCAGATATTTAAAATATAAAACTAAAGTCTTAATTCTCCAAAAAAGACAAAAGAATGCTAAAAAGATTATTTTAATAGTAACTCTCGTAGTAAGTACATCTGTTGTCCAGTTTCAAAACATATGAACCAGTCATTGATTAGCAGTTAACCTAGGGAACTTTGAAATAAATGCTCAACCTTACTCATCAGACATTTATCATGCACCTACTTTGGCCAGGCAGTGTTGATGGTTCTGAGGATCAAGTTATGAAACAAAGGCTACTGCTGCCCTCAATGAAATCCTGTCTTTTAGAGTGAAAGACCAAAAATCAAGCACAGTGGTATCTTGGCTCTCATCATTCATCGGTTCCCAGGAGCACATGTACCAAAAATGATGAGTACAGAATAAATTGTTTTGGCTGGAAGAGGTAGCAAGTCACAAAGCAGTAAATACCAACAGGTACTAGCTTGTATATTGAAGACCAAACAAACAACAAGGACAAGGACAGATTTCATGTCAAAATGCAGTGAGTACCAAATTCATAGATTTCAGAATAGTCAGATGCTATGCTACACCTGAGTATGGTATGAATGTCTCTTCTAAAACCCAGGTTGAAATTCAATTGGTATTAGAACATGATAAAAAAGTGGGACTAAGGCATTCATGTATAGGCTCCGGATAAAAGGGCAAGTTCAGTGATTTTTCTGTCCTGGGAGTGCTTTTTTGCTCTTTCACCATGTTCTGATGCAGCAAGAAGGTCCTCCCTAGGTTCTCCCCATTTGGTTCTTTCTAGTCTCTGGAACTATTTAGTCAAATAAACTTCTAGTGTTTATAATTCACTTAGTCTTTAGTACTGTGTTATAGAGGCAGGAAATGGACTAAGAGGCCATATGAAGTGACAAGTGGTATGATAAAGCGAGCACACAGATCAGAGGGAGGGAACAAGGGTGGCAAGGAAAGATTCTGAGACAAGTAGCATCTAAGCTGAAGCTAAAGGATGAGCAGGAGTTGACCAGAGAGATGAGGCCAGCCTGTTGAGGGTAGAGCATTGGGAGAGGCCTGTGTAAGAAACTGCATGTGATTCATTTGGAAAGACTTTAAGGAATACATCATGCTGAAGCATCACGGCCAAAGATGAATCTGGAAAAAAGGGAAGGGGTCAGGCCCTCAGCGGTGTCTGCCAGAGGCAAACTCTTCCAGATAATTATCAGGACTCCCTTTGCCCATTTCTGGATGACTTGCACTCTTAAAAGTATCTGAAGTCACAGAAGCAGGAAACTGTGGGCAGGGCACCAATAGATTGATAAATATTAATTAGATTTTTGACTTGATCATTGATGTAAAGGCACATTTACTGCTTCTCTTGCTAGAAATCACTCTCAGAGGGACAGACAAACACACATAAAGAGAATGAAATAAAAGGCAGACTTCATTTTCAGGAAAATTAGTAGAACCAAAATCCACATCTCTTTTGAGGCCAGGCTGGGCTACATAGTGAGTTCAAGGCCAACCTAGACTAATGAAATCCTATTTCAAAGAAAAAATTCCACATCTCCATCAATTAGATGCAACTGCAACCAAAGTGAGGGAAAAAAGAATAATGTATTAGGGTAATGGTGGTAAGTACATCACCTTTAATTCAAATATAAAAATTAAAAGGCAAAATTTTTAAAGATAACTCTCATTTAAAAACTAAAAGATACATAGTATAAATATATAAATTGTGACAACAAGAACAAAAAATGTGGGGAAGGAGAAGTTAAGAGTTTCTATAACTGAGATTAAATTGTTGCTAACTGAAATTAGACTGTTAAATTAGACTTTATCTTATATATCATTTCCAAAGTATAAAGAATACCTACAGAACTTATACAAAAAAATGAAAAAACTATACCACCAACAGAAAGCAAGTAACAAAAGAGCAATAGTAAATCTTCTCTATCAATAATTACTTTGTAAATAGATTAAGTTTACCAAACAAAAACAGAGTGGCTGAATAAGCAGAAAATCAAAATTTAAAGACTGTTGATCCAACTATGTAATGCCTGCAAGAAACTCACTTTAGAACAAAGGACATGCACTGGCTGAAAGTGAAGTGATGGAGGAAAAGGTATTCCCCTGTAAATAGTTATCAAAAGAGAACTAGGGTGGCCATTTTTATAACAGACAAAAATATGCTATAGGTTGAAAAAAAAAAGAAGAGAAAGAGAAGAGAGAAAGAGCATTGCCTAAGAGGGTTTAATTAAATAAAGAAGGAGACAGATGGCATGAATGTTATAGACCAAAGGGACCTAACAGAAATATATAGAACCTTCTACCCAACAGAAAAATGTACATTGTCTCAAGAACCCTGTGCTCTTTCTTAAGGATAGATCATGTGTTAGGTCACAAAAGAAACCTAAACAGATCTTAGAAGATGGAAATTATACCATTTTATCTTCTGACCTCAATAGAATGAAGCTAGGAACCAATGTCAGAAGGAAAAGTGCAAACTTCACCAAAATGTTGAAATTAAACACTTGAACTAGCATTGGTTCAAAGAATAAATAAATACAAAAATACTTCAGGATGAATGAGAGAGAAAATTCATCATACCCAATTTCAGGAAATGCAGCAAAACCAATACTAAAAGAGAAATTCATAGTGATAAATAGAATTGATATGTAGGAAAGTTTTAACCTAATTGAATACTCCAGAGATCTAGAAAAAGAAGAACAAAGGAAAGCCATAAATACCAAGAACAAAGAAGAAGCAAATATAAGACCAGAAATAAATGAAATAGAAACTAGAAAAACAATAGAAAAAAATCAATAAAGCTAAGTACTGGCCTTTTGAAAGTATAAATATAACAGAGAAACCTTAGAGCACTGTGGTTTAGATATGTCCCCCAAAGTTAATTCCCAACATGGCAGTGTTGGGAGGCAAAGGCTCATGGTAGGTGTTTAGGTTTGTGAGGTTTCCACTCTAATGAATGTGTTAAGGCTGCTCTCACAAGAGGTCAGTTTTTGTGGGAGTGGCTTCATTATAAATGTAAGCTCTTCCGCACAGGCTTGCTTGCCCTTCCATTTTTCCACTATGAGACAAAGTAGCACAAGGTCCTCACCAGATACTAGAACCACACACCTGGACTTCCCAGCCACTAGAACCACGAACGAAATAAAGACTCCTATAAATAGTCTCAGGTGGTCTATGATAGTAGCAGAAAATCAGCTAACACTAAGGAAAAAAAGACATAGACTATAAATAATATCAGAAAGGAAAGAAGAAATATTAGAACTGATAACAGATATAAAAGGATCCTTAGAGACTACGAACAGTTACAGTGTATTGACAAGCTGGATATTCTAATAGAAACAGGTACATTTCTAGACACGTACACCCAATAAAATCTAAATCATAAAGAAACAAAAAACCAAAACAGGTCCATAGTTAGTCTGAAAATTGCATCAGTAACTAAAAGCCTCTCAACAAAGCTAGACATTGTGGTGCATGTCTGTAGTCCAGGCACACAGAGGACTGAAGCCAGAGGATCAATTGAGCCCAGGAGTCCAGGATCAGCATGGACAACATGGCAAGTCTCAAAACAAAACAACAGTAACAACAACAACAAAAACCCTTCTAACAAAGAAAAGCCCAAGTTAAGATGTTTTCACTAGTAAAATCTACCGAACATTCAGAGTATGATTAATGCTAATCCTAACATTCTTTCAAAATTGAAATGGGATCCTTCTTGTACTCGCCAGCTTTCCTGCTGCTGAGACACATCTCTCTCAACATCCACCACTTAAAGGAGAAGAGATTTAACTTGGCTCAGAATCTCAGAGGACCCACAGTCAGCTGGCTCAAGGCAGGATCAACATGGTGGAAGGGAACCGTAGACCAGAAACAGTTCGTGGTGACCAGGAAGCAGAGCGGAGAAACACTGCCAAAGAGATCGTATAGAGTCAGGTCTCCATGACGAATTCAGACACACCCAGAAGTGTGCTTTACCATGCCCCAAGTGCCTCCCAAATCAATCAAGCTGACACAGTCAACTGAATCACAATGACTCCCAACCTCATTTTGTGAGGCAGCATCACCCTGACACCAAAGCCAAAGAAACCACACACAAAAAAAACAAAACCATAGGCTGATATCTCTTAAGAAACACAGAAGCAAAATCCTCAACAAAATACAAGCAAATTGAATCTAGCATCGCATTAAAATAATCATATCCTTGGGAGGCAAGAATGGTTCCACACATGGATACGAATCACTGTGAAACACCGTGTTAACAGAAAAAAGACCAAGAATCATGCGACCACCTTAACAAAGCCAGAGCAACCATTTGACAAAATTCAATGCCTACTCGTGACAAAGACAATAAAAATACCTCGACATAATAAAGGCCATATTTGAAAACTCCATAACTAACATCATATTCAACAGTGAAAAACTGAGAGCTCTTCCTCCAAAAACAGGGACAAGGCAAGGGTCACTTTATTTAACATAATATTAGAAGTCCTATCTTGAGCAATTAGGCAAGAAAAAGAAATAAAAATCATACAAATTGGAAAGGAAGAAGTAAAATTATCTCTATCTGAGAATATGTCAGGGAAATTTGTCATAAATTCTAAAAAGCACAACTTGTAATATGTATCAAACAAATACACATATTTTGATTAGTAGCTCCAGTTCTAGAAATGGGTTCTATATATGGTTTCTAATATATGAAATAACATGAATACAGGGGATTTTTCTACATTTTCTTTACAAAAAAAAATGAGAAATATTTTAAATGTCCATTAGTGTTTCCTTACACAAACTCTGAGACATCCGTATAACAGAATACCATTCACAGCCATTAAAAAGAATAGGTACTATGAAAAACTGATTTAGAACAGTCTCCAACATATCATGTTGAAAGAGAAAGGGAAAATTATGTTTATTGCTCTCCCACCTATGTGAAAAGCTGGGAAATATATTTGTTTGTATATGCATAAGTACCTTTAAAAGAATTTTTAAAACAGAGGGACTTGGATTAGAAGAAACTGAACCATATTAATTTATTTTTTAATAGTTTACATTAAATGTCTCATTAGTTATAGTGGAAATCAGGATACTGGAAATTTACGATGTTAACAAAAAAAGCACCTAAAATTTGAAACTAAAACTAGAAATGAAATTTTCTCTTCCATACCTTAGTTATTACTTTCTTGTGAACTGGGTCATCACATATTTCACCTGCCAAAGCAAAGTTGAGAATTAAAAGAAGTAAAATAAAACTGGATTTAGACTTTCTAGAATACACTTGCTTTTTAAATCAACATTACTAGGTAGAAATGTGAATTGAAACAGAGATAGGAGCGTTTGCACCCTAAATGTTGCTATTAATGCAAGGAGTACTTACGTTTGCCTAACACAGAACTACAATGAAGTAGGCCTTAAATATTTTTCTGTGAATTTTGTTACTGTTGCTAATTGTCTCTGGTGCAGAGGTAAATTTTTATTGCCTATATTCTGCTCACTGTTAAGAAATCCAAAAGGATATCTTCCAATTTTAGTGTATGTGCTGCCGAAGCGAGCACAACCAAAATGCCATCTTGGAACAATTCTTGTCTATGAGAGAGCTTGGTGAGTATGTTTTTTGTCTATCTTGGTTCAAGTCAGATGCATCTGTAAATATTAAGGTCAAATTCAATAATGGCCACGCCTTCTACCTACAGAAAATGTACTCTGCAATGTGCCAGAATTGTAAATACTTTTCCATGCTACAAAGATTGACATTTGCTTATTACATATATATGTAAAAAAATGAGACATCTGCAGTAGAAAACAAAAATCACTAATATCCTAACATCCAGAGATCAGGACTGTTAGCAGAGCTTGTTTGGGGTTGATTTTGCATATGTATATATACACACTTATAGTCACCACACTGTTATTTTAAATTTATTTTGCTTGCTGGGTTTTTTCATGTAAAGTGTGAGAAATTCTCCTACCATTAAAAGTTCTTTATCATTCTTATATTGAAGCATCATATAATAACACATGGTTATGGAATAACATAATTTATTTCCACGTTCTCCTACTGTGAGGCACTTAAGTATATCCAATTTATCCTTGATATTTGAAGCTTTCATACTATTCTCCAGAATTATATCTCTTATAATAATGAGTTACTTGCATCAACCTCGTGCCGGGGCACTTACGTTATCACTAATACTTATCATACTTATATAGTCATATAAAGTGAAGGTTTTTGGCCAGGGGAATGAAGGACAGAGTTTAAAAGTGAGATGACTAGATGAAAATACAGAAGTCAGCATGGTGGGGTTTCAAACCCAGGACCTTCTCTTCACCATGCAATGCTGTGACCACAGGCATGTGACAAACCGGCACCTGTTTCTCAGGGCCCAGGGCTGGGCCTGGGATGTTGCACTTGCTCTAGAGGGGAGTCCCTGAGCTGGTGGATGGCCTTCACTGGGCACCCGCAATTTAAAGCTCAGCTTTTCTTGTGTTGTTACCCCATGTGCAGTCACACTCACAAAATGACAAAAAGAAGAAACTCTGCCCGTGTGGGCAGTGGCTCCCTCCCCAAAGAAAACCGATGTACAGGGCTAGCTAGTGAGGAAAGTGAAAAAGAATTAAAGTCTAACAAGGTAACAGTCCTAAGCCAGAAGATTTAGATAGACCAGAGTAAAACGTCAAATTTTCTCAAAGCCCAGATCCATAACACAAAGAAGCCCAAGTTGTACAAAAGCAAGAAAAATAATTCTGAAATGTTCTGCGAGTGCTTTAGCAAGGATATCTCTCAGTGGCATTATAAATGATTAGAGCATATAAACCAGAGGTCTGAAGGGGTACTTAAACCTTCCAGTTACTTTACTGTATTTTATGAGGGAAATTACAAGCTGTCATGGGATTTAGAGACTCGCAAAGACTTTGAGATTTATACCTGTGACAGCCAGGGCCTTCGCTAAAAACGGCCCTGTAGTAAACACCTCTGCAAAAACCTTGGTCACATGCCTTATAATTTCTTTCAGACCGCTTCTTGGAAATGATATCGTTAGATTCCTACGTGGCAAAACAAGCCAAAGCGAAATTCCCATTTAAACCACTAGTGGAGGTAAGGCAGCATTTCTAGAAAGCCTCCAAAAATGACAGCTAAGAAGAAATTGTAGGGAAAGTTTCCATAGTATTTACCAATCATTGCAGTAGTCATACAAAAGTGCACAGCGCAGCTGAGGGGTTGACAATGTCCTAGCTAAAGTCATCTTGTCCCCTGCTGGAGAAGGCAGGAGGAGCACCCAGGGTGGAGAGGAGGGCTGAGGGGACACAGTGGCCATGGGGACAGAGGGGATAACAGAGAGGGGAGTTCAAAAGGCGGGAGAAGGTGAACACCAGGGGTCAAATCTTGTTTTACATACTTTGACAGTGCGAATTTCCAGAGAACAAAGTAAAAGCTCTCTCTCTGTGTCTCTCTCCCTCTCCCTCTCTCCCTCATCGCCCTCAGATTTCCTTGACTTTCTCAGCTTTATGAGTCCCATTAGTGAGGTTGGGAGGCCACAGAACCTGAGAGAAGGTCCCACAGAGCCTCTGTGCCTTGGGCAGAAGGAACTGTCTACTCACTCGGCCAACGAAAGGCTAAAAATCACAGTATTTATTCTGACAAAAGCATACAAACAGGATTGATGCAAGAGCCTGTCTGGTCTGCCAAGGTGACCTCACGAAGTGTGAAATCTCAGGGAGCGAGCAATAAATTCTCATAAATATATGCACTAACATAAAATGCTGCTTTCACCAAGATAAACTGGCTGTTAAGAATTTGTTCTCCGAAAAACAAAGGTCTACTGGCCACCACACAGCAGAATCACACATGGGCCTGAGAGGATAACTTCCAAACCCATTTTCTACCCATAAATGACAGCAGATCCAAAGTCTCATCTAAATCATCCAGAATGCGTCCAACGGCTACAGTACTTGTGAGCAGTCCTTGCGTGTCACGGACTAGGCTGGGTGCTAGCGGTGTCCGTGTGATCAGAGACAGCCAATGATGGTTGGGGAGTATTATTAAATGATGTAAAAAGCATTAACAGTAACAAGAAAAAGGAACAGTTCCTCTTACCATATATTCTCCCATTGACGGAACATTTTTTGAAAGTCATGATGTTCTGAGTGAGGGTACCCGTTTTGTCAGAGAAAACATACTCGATCTGACCCAGCTCTTCGTTGAGTGTGGTTGTGCGAGCTTCAGCAGGTGCTGCCTTCCCAGTGTAATACATCTTCCGGTCCCAGTTTATAAAATAACTGTGTCCCAGACGAATTACTTCCATACTGTGGTCCATTAAAATGGGGGGGGGGAGAAATGCTCCATTAACTTCAGAACACACAAAGCTTTTACAAGTAAAAGGTCTTCCAAAGCTCTCAGAGTTCAGAAGAAAATGTGGACATGGTGTCCTAGGTCCTAGTGATCTTCAGACTTGGCTCAGTAGAGAATCTGTTCACTAAGCTCTGGGTCTAAGTCATTTCCTTGCAGCATCATAAAATAACAGCAACGGCGCTGCAGAAAGCCTTGGAGAATGTACCAAAGTCCTCGATGTTTGTTATGCAAGTCCAGGGGAGATTTCTGTGTAGATATTAATTTGCTCTCCTTTTTTTTTTTTTTTTTTGGTACTGGGATCGAACTTGGGACCTTGCACTTGTGAGGCAGGCTGTGGAACCACTGAGCTAAATCCCCACCCCTTCCTTCCATTTCTTAGGAGGAACTAATTATTATTAAACACATGTGTCATGAAAATATATGGTGAACATTCAAATTTTTAAATTATTACAACAAAAGACACACTGCTACTCGTCTACCTCAAATATTCCCCTTCACTTAGAACATTTCTCCCATCATTCTTGCCTCCTTCCAAAGCAGCTCTGGAACTCCTCCATCACGCATGTCTTAGGTGGATGCTGCTGCTGCGTGACATCTAGTGGGAAGGCAGGCTCGTGAAAACGTGACCCTGTGCCGTCATCTATCTTATTCACTGGGTCTGGCACCATGTGACTTCTGGCTCATTCCCAAAGTCGGAATGACCATGAGCCTGGCATGGTGGTGCACACCTGTAATCCCAGTGCTCAGGAAGCCGAGGCAGGAGAAGTCCGAGGCCACCCTGGGCTACATAGTGAATTCAAGGCCAGCCTAAATTACGGAGTGAGATGCTGTCTCAAAAATAAACAAATAAATAAATAGACCATGAAAGGTAGAAATTTTGAATCAATTCAAGACATCAAGGCAGCCATGACAGAGCAACTAAAGACACTCATGAAAGAAGACTCCAGAGCTGCTTCAGAAAGTAGCAAAAACTATGAGGTGGTGGTTTCGAAGCAAGGGGAGTATATTGAGGGAGATTAGTGGCAACGTATCTTTTACTATAATACATTTTTTAAATTTAAATATTCACCATATTTTTATCACACTTCCTATATCTAGTCTAAAGAAATGTGTTTTCTCCGATACACTGATGGGATTTAACTTTGCCAAAAGAGGTAGTAAATTGCATATCTCTCCATGAAGCACAAGCCAAATCATAGTAGCTACTGAGTGAAAACAGAGGTGTGCTAGGGTACTCTTCTGCCTGTCTACTGGGAATAGAGCATTGTCCAAGTTCTGGTGACGATTTATGACTTCACTACTTTAAAAATAGAATCTCTGTGGCCAAAGGTATGAATTACTTACTTCACTGCTTGTCACACAAAATGCCAAACTGACTTCCAAAAATGTTATGACAATGTAAGCACTGACCATCAGAATATGAAAAATTATCAATTCGAAGAGCATCTTAATATTTTTTACTGCCATTTCTTTTCAAATCAGTGAATTTGAACACCTTTTTTCAAATTTTATTGTCCAGCTGTGCTTCTCTGTGGAACTATCTACTTGTATATCTGCCTCTTTCTCCTATTCTGATATTAGTGTTTTTCTTGTAGATTTTGTTAAAGCTCTACACATATTAAAGTTATTAACTCTAAAAATAAAATGGAGGCACCCTACTCAGTTCATCACTTGCCTTTTCATTTTGCTTCCAGTTTTCAACATGAAGTTTTCTCTTTTTAATTAATCAAATCTAATAACCATTTATAGTTTTGTTTAAGGAGTTTTGCTTAAATAGGCCTTCTCTACGCCAAGGTTATACAGGTACCTGCATAGATGTGTGTTTTTCTTCTGGTTTTTCTTGATTTTTTTCACATTTACTTGTCTAATGGAATCCAGTGACTACAGGAGCTAGTTTCAGGTTTTACAAACAAAAAACATTTTCCATAGATATTTGCTAAATGCAGAGCCCTTAGGTTTGGATGCCTCCTGAATCACATAATTATCTATTCATTAAACTGTTCAGTGGATTTCAGTTTTGTTCCTTGATATATTACTTAATGCATCTCTTGCTTTTATTATTGCAGCTTTATGAAACCCGGAACTACCTGAGAGGCTATCAAAACACCTTTATTCTCTCCCTTTTTAAAAATTCTTAGCTGTAATCATTCATTTATTCTTCCTGATAGAAGCAACATATTCATCTAAATAAACCCTAAAACCAAGACATTGGGATTTTAGAAAATTTATCTGGGATTTTTCTTATATCTATGTTGTAATCTTAGTTATTTCAAAAGAACTGATATTTCACAAAGATGAACACAGCTTCAAGAAGAATGACAAATCTTCCCTGAAATTCAATTTTTAAAAGCGCCTCTACCGGTAAAGAGTTTTAGTTTTATATTGTTTTGCTTTGTTTTTTCACACACATCCTTTATTATATCCTTTATTGATGAATTTTTAAAATTATTATTGGTCTAAAGGAAAGTTTTTAATTCTTTAAAAAGATGGCTACAGAATTAGATACTTGACTGAATTAAACTTCAAAGATTTTTATAGATTGTTCTTCTGATATTCTAGGTTTTTAATTACTTGTATATTTACTTTTGATAGGTTTATTGCAGTCACACATTATGTCTTCCTTTGTTTGTTGATATTTCACTTTCTTTGCACATCAACAAAGACATTCAGAAGAAGAAAAGAGAGCAATGATAACATAAGAGCAGAGGCTGAAGTCTATTTCTGATCTTAGAGGAAACTATGTCACGGCTTTCTCACCTGCAGAATAAGATGGACTAGAAGACACCCAAACCCTTTCTGAGTATTAAATTCTGTGCTTCTACTTCTAAAAGTCCATACTGTTTCCCTAAGAATGGTACAGTTCCAGCCCATTCTTGAATATCTGAATGGTAACATTTTTTTTTCTCCTAAATTAAAACCACATTAGCACCATGTGGCTTTACAACCATATGATATAAAGAAAAGTCATACTCTGGATGCAATTATTTATGTATTTTCATGTATATGTCTGCTTTTCTATGGCCCCTATGCGTGTGCACACACACACACACACACACACACACACACACACATACACACTCACTTCTTTGTAAATTCCTCACTAGCTGGGCTGATTCTGCATAGTTTTTGCAACTTCTTTCACTCAAAAGATCCAGGACAGAGTTGTGCATGCCATGGGTGGCCAGGCAGTGTTGAATGAACACATCCAGCTATCTAGTCACTGACTTCATTAAAACCTGAGAGATCAAGGGTCTAAGCCAGGATCGCACAAATACTTAGCCATCAAGCCAAGACTGGAACTCTATTTGGTAATGGCATTGCAAACTTGGCCTGACCAATGACATTTTGCAGTATTTCCCCTTATCTGAGATTTCACTTTCCAGGGCTTCCATTACCCAGTTAGTGACATCCAAAAATACTAAGTGGGAAGTTCCAGAAATAAACAATTTATGCTCTAAATTTTGTGCTGAGTAACATGATGAACTCACATGCCATCCTGCTCCCAGCTGCCTGAGATGCGGATCATCCCCTTGTTCAGTGTTTCCATGCTTTGTATGCTACCCACTCTGTCACACTGCCACCATCTTAGGGAATAGACTGGCTGTGGTGGCACTGCGGTGCTTGTGTTCATGAGACTCTGACACAGGCACCTAAAGTGACATCACGTGGCTACATCCTTCCCCGCTCTTCGTCTCACCACGAAGCCACCTTATTGTCCCACACTAGCCAAGAAGAAAGGTGAATACGCCATAAGGAGACATTTTAAGAGTGAGAGGGACTCTGTTCATGTAACATTGGTGACAGTGTATTAGCATGGTTACATATTATTATTCTTAATCGCTTACTATGCCTAATTTATAAATTAAACTTTATCACAGCTATGTGTGCACAGTATATTAAAAAAACAGCATACAGGGCTCAGTACTATCTGCAGTTTCAGGAATCCACTGGGGGGGGGTCTTGGGATGTTTTCCCCAAGGAGAAGGGGAGGGGCTATTTCTGCACAAATCATTGGATGCTTCCAATGATCTAAAAATCTAGAAACCCAAGCAAAATGACTGTAACCAAATCTGATTCTCCCACATTGCAGCACCAGCCAATGGAAGTGTCTAAAATTCACTTAGATTCCTAGAGCTTTAAATAGACCCAGGAGAGGAGCCCTGATTGTTTGGGGAAGAGGACTTGGGACAGTCACTGCGGAGCATGCTGCCCTCCCTTTTAGAAAAGCAGAGGGATGTAGATGATTGTTCAGAGGGAGCCTAATTAGGACTACTCTGAGTGTGGTCTTAGGCGTCCACTCCTGCTGAAACAAAACAAGCAACACTGAAATGAGCTCCTATTGCTTCAGAAAGAATGCTTAAAGCTAATTCTTCAGGAGAACAATGGCTGCATTTCTCAATGCACAAAAACAACAAGCTGGATGCGCCTTAACACAACAAATAAACAAACTGACAGCATAAAAACGTCCTGTCAAAATAAACACCTTTCTCACCTGGAATTGCCATTCCAAGTCAACTCCGTGCTTTTCTCCTCCAGGGACACACACGCTAACTTATCCCGTGTACCTATTCAGAAGCCTAGAGGAAGCTTCGACCGCAAGGCCGGGAGCCCTCCAAACACAAACACCTAGCGTTCTCTTACTCCCCATCTCAGTCTTCAGGACAGAGCAAGGCCTTGGAATGCTCTTTCCTCCAGCTCAGCTCAGACCCACTGTTCTTACTTGGGAGAGAAATGTCACGTGTCCTCCGCATCAGTGCCATGGCCTTCCACCAAGGACAGGAGTCGCCTCCTCTTTCTCTGCGGACTTCTTCGCTGACTAATAAATCAAGTAAAGCTCAGGGACGGAGGGGAAATGTGGTGACAGTTTCCAGAGTCATAGGTTAGGATCCTGGTTCTGCTCTAACTAGCTCCATGATCCCGAGCAAGGATAGGGAAGTATTTTGTGTAAAATATTTTAAAAGAAAGAGAAAAACATCCACAGAGTTTTGTCAGGCATCATCTCTTATGGTACATTACAGACTATCAGTGAGTGATTTTGAAAATGACAAAGAGCATGCACAATAAAATAGGTTTAAGCAATAAAGTGCTATTCTGAGCTGTGACTTATGTATTTGTCTTTTCTGTTATATACATATATGTGTGAGAGGTGGTATTATTTATTACTTGGAGCAGAAAGGAACCCCAAAATCGATTATAGTTTCCTCACTTTATAAAGCAGCACATATCTGACGGACAAATGAAGGCACAGAGAGAAACCATGTACTTTCTCTAAGGCCACGTAGCTATTATTCGCAGAGTCAAGACCAGAAACTGGGTTTGGACTATGTCAAATAGGTTTTCTGCTACCACTGCACATAAAAACTAAAAGAAATGCTAGCCTGAGAATGCAGCCTTGGCCTCTAAAAAAAATATCAATCTTTCAAATCATTAAGTAAAAGCACATCAATTCACTTCACAGCAAGAACATATACAGAACAGACTTTGTTCATCAGGGACTTGTTTTCATAAGGACTTTCTATTCTTTTCAGAATAGACTTCTCTTTCCATAAGGCCGTCTGAAACGGCACTTGAGCAGACGGAAAGCCACGGTGCTTATTTATTATTCGTTCAGGACATAAAAGGAAAGCCAGAAAGCTGACCAGAGCTCCCCTGGCAAAGAGCAGGATTTGCTTCAAGCATGAGAGGTGCTCAGAGTCAAAAATGAGCCAGGAGGTGCAGTCTAAGCAGAGCCACCCTGGCCACATCTCCAGACCCCAAAGCCACTCGTGCTGCGGCCCCAGGCTCCTGCTTCTAGTCAGCTTCCCAGCTTGTGACAGTGTGGTCTCCTGACCTCTCTGAGACCTGGGTGAATCGTGAGCATGAAGCTGCCCTTGCGTCACCATAGCTAGGTCTAGAGAAAGAGAAAGAGACTAATAAAAATCAGCGGTGATCAGAGCTGGTGGTTTGGGTTTTGTTAAAGTCCTGCTGGTGACAGGAGCCAAACAACCAAGTCCTTGCTGGCTCCAGGTCGGGGACTACCTGGCTCAGTCAGGTAGGATAAGGTGAAAAAGGTGTCCGGTGCAGACTCCAGGCCCAACTGCTAAAGTCTTACCAAAGACAGACGTCAATATCCACACACACACATACGTGGATACACACACACACGTTGTATACATATAATAGACTTACGTGTATACACAGAGACAGAGAACAGCAGACAGACAAACAGAGACAGACACCATTTCAGTTCTAGTTCCATTCAGTTCTAAATCTGTAAATGGCAGGTCAAGATGTAGCGGAAAGTATGGATCACACTTCTTAACTAACTGTCAATAAGCACTGCCTGCTGTGTCTTAGCTCCTTCACAGATTCCTTTACACTCACTGCTAATCACAGGAAAAATTACATTCATTAAGCTTTTACAGTGTGCCACACAGTCTTCTAAGTGCTTTACAGGAATTTCTTCAGTCCTCGTACAAACCTATGCAAGAGAACGAGCACTTTTTCCATTCTCTCCTGCCCTGCGAGGTGAAGTGACTGTCCTGGTGTCACAGAGCTACACCTGCACCCAGGTATCTGCAGCCAGGCAGGTGGTGGACAGGTCCCACCTATGTACATCTCCCCAAATGATCCTTTTCTTACCCCAAACCAACACAATTCTAGTTGATCGGTCTACATGCAATTATATTATAGTCCATATAGTCCAGAGAAAATCATTCCCAAGAAACCAAATCCAGTCAAGAACAATACTAAATGCATTTACTGTGATTTGAAAATGTAAAAGTTAAATGAGGCTTAGCTGCCTCATTTGTCACAGATGCAGAAGGTCATAAGCAATCTGCCCGAGATATCTGTCTCACTTTTATAATTTTAAAACAAACAGAAGTGATTGCACGAAACATTTGAGGAAATGGATTCGTTAAAAGTATAAACTCTCATCTTACCTCACATATAATGAAATGGGCACAACGGTATTGAGAATAATAATGTATGACCAGAACGTTAAGAATCCTGAGAACACAGAGTTCTTCTCTTCTTCATTCCAAAAAAGGAAAGTTCTGAAATGGCCCCCAACTTGATTCTCCCAGATCGAATTTCCTATTGCAAGAATAATTCCCAAGCATACCAAAAACCCAAAAATCTGAAATAAGAATAAAAGTCTGGTTAAGATTAACTTGAACCCAAAACTAGGCACATGAACACTATCTAATTACACTTCTAACTCCAAGAAATCTTCATCTGGACATCAAGTTATGTAAACCTCTTATTTCTTACCATATATCCATCTGGACAAAATTTAATATTTTTATGCCAGTAATGTTGCTAAGCATTTGACTCCCATTCTCTCCATCTCCCACTGACTGAGTTAGAAACAATGGTTATTCATACCTCACCAAGGAAAAACAAAATGAAATAAAGCGTAAGTGCAGAAGGACTCTAACTTGTCCATGGTCACATAGCTAACAACTTCATGTGCTCAGCTTGTGAAAAAAAGCACATATTTAAGTAGCTGAAGTAAAGAGGACCCCGTGCCCAGTTTTGCTCTGGACAGCTCCACTTTACTTCTATTGTCCAGGCAGAGTGTTACTAATGTTCCCTTTCGCTTCTGTGGGTGACTTTCCAAAGTATGACCCAAAACAAGGTAAATATTCCCACCAAGTGCCACCCAACAGACGGGCAGGCTTGTACTAACACGGTGTGTGCCTTGACCTATTTCATTCACAGATGTGGCTCTCTGTGGCTTCTGGCTGCTCCATGAAGTTAAAATGGCCGTGAAAGGGAAATGCTTAGAATCGATTCTGGACATTCAGGCAGCCAGAACAGTGCAACTAAAGACCCTCTAGAGAGAGGGCTCCAGAGCTGCTGCAGAAAGTGGTGAGAATGAGGGACAAGGGTGTTTGGAAAGCATTTGGAGGGAAGATGAACAGCAATGTGTCCTTTACTGTAATAATTTTTTCACACATTTAAATATTTACCCTATTTCTATCACACCTCATCCAGACTTTCCTTTTGAGAATTAAAAAAGGAGAAACACCTTGGAAATTGTTCACAGATGATTACGTTGTTATTAGTATGGGGATTAGAAAGGTGGACATTTTGGAAGTAGAGTGATTACAGTCAAAGAAGTCAGTCCACCTCAGGTCTAAAACCCCAGCCCTTGGAAAGAAAAGACACTGGCCCAGCGAACATGGGAAGCCCTGGGTGGAAAAATGTGACGTGGGGACTTTGTTCTAAGTGTGACACTGTCCAAAGTAGAGGCTAGAAAGTAGGGAGGTGCTCCTTTCTATTTCCTGCTTCTTCCAAGAAAGAATAATCATAAGTTCTAGAATCACTTTCTTCTCTATTGTCTCCTGAGTAAAATAAAGGCATAAGAAGACAAAGTGGGGAAAAGCTTTAAAATATATTAAGAAACTATATATTAGAGAAAAGTAGAAATGGGAATCACCAATGTCTGCCAGTTGGGTCCCTGCATCATGGTGGCTGTTTTTAATGGTTGATGCTATAAGTTAACTGAACTGAGGTGTTTTTAAAGCATTAAAATTGGTGATACTTGGCATTAAATGACCTCGTTTAATGGTGGATTTGCCTGCTGAGTCTCCAAAAGATTCCTACTTTCTATTACAAGGAGCTAGGATAGTCCATTCTTCACACCCAATCATTTTACTCCGTGTGGAACACAGGTGCATAGACAGAACTTGCATGCGAGCCCTGGAAGTGGGGTCAGGGCCATTTAAATTGAGAATCGCAGAAGCACACACCGCCTCAGTCCCATAAACTCTGCCCCAAGGGAATGAGTTTAGCTGGAGGAAAGCCAGGTCTGGGGTGGTATTTAAACCAAAACACAGCCTAGCTAATACATTGTACCCAAGGAGTATTAATTTCCTTATCCAGGGTTCAACTATCACATATCAGTTAAGCAAATATATATTGAGCTCAGATGTTTTTAAGACTGCTTGTAAGCTGTGTGGAGGTGCATAGGGAAACATGTCTCAGTGCCTTCAAACCTAACACCTCCGTAAGGGACAAGGCAATGAGTGAAATAATAATCAGATAACAATATGACACACGACTAACTAGCAAGAGGGTGAGAGGTGAGGAATATCTGATTGTATCTGGTAAGTGAGTGGAGAGAAAATCACTTCCAAAAACTCAAGGGAGAAAATAATTCATAGGCGAGAGAGAGAGAACTATGAACTAAGGAGGTTTAGGTAGCTCCATGAAGCACCTGGGACTTCATCAGCAGAATCAGCCACATAACCTGCAGGGTCCAGTGCAAAATGAAAGAACATGGTCAATGTAAAAAAGTGCTAGGCATCGCTAGACAGCTCCAGTGGACCAATAACACACCGTGCGACCCTTCAGAGTGCGGGGCCTTCCCGGAAGCCCAAGTCATTCACCTGGACCCCAGCCCCACCCCAGCTCTGCGGAGGGGATCCGAGCAAAGGTAACACAACCCAGGGGATCTGCAAGATCACAAAGTGCTCCAGGGGCACGAATCTACCTGTCGTGATACATTCTACCACCAGGGAGAATTCATCACAACCTAGGAAGTAGAAGGTGGCCAAACTCCACAAGAAGAATGTAAGCTTTTGAGAGAATGCCCAGAAAAACAAAAGAAATACATTAACAATGGCTAGTGGTACTCACTAATTCTGTAACTGTCACTTACCCACAGCACTAGCGTATTCATCAACCTGTCGATGCTTGTCCTTTTAAACTTTGTCTTGCCACTGTTCTGCATGAGTTTAGTATCAGGACCTGCAAAAACAATCAGTAGCAACTTTGAAACAATTGGATTACGTGTTATTATTGTCATTAACTCTTACACCGGTGTTTCTGAAAGGTAAAACATAGTTTTCGAAATAATTTAATTTGTACTAAAAATAAAGGCCATCGGGTTGTATATGGGTTGTTTGCTTTTTGTTTTTGCAGTGCTGATGACTGAACCCAGGACCACGCTTGTGCCAGGCAGCTGCTCTACCACTGAGCTACTTCCCCAACCCTGTACATGACTCCTAACTGGAGACGCAAAAACAATCCGGGTCACAGAAAGAGAACAGCACTCAGTAGCATAAGTCCAGATAGAACTTGTTGCTGTAAAGTTCAATAAATGCTATTTGTCAACAATCCGTGCATGAATGCGCTTCCAGTTTGAAGTAGTTAAAGATAACAAACTCAATAAAAGGAAGGAATAATTTGGAAATATTAAAAGAATGAAGTAACAAACAATTCAGAATGCTAAGGTCAAAAAAATGAAAGATAAGAAATCAAACTCCAGATGTGCTTCCCAGAAAGGTAAAGCTTTGAGGTGTTTTTAAAGAACAAATTTTTTTTAAACTCCAAAAAATTCGGCAAGTCAGTTAAACCCTTTACTGTGACTGCAAACTGTATACATAATATGTACTTTGGGTAAAGCAAGAAGTGGGAAGGGTGGGGAAAGGAAAGAAAGAAAAGAAAAAATATGAGAAAACAAAAAAATGGAAACAAAATTTTTGTAACTAGGGAAGGGAGGAGGGGGTGAAGGGAGGGCAGGAGTATGGGGAAAAAATGAGAACCAAGACCTGTCATGTAAAGGTACAAGATCCCAATGATGAATGTAACTGTACTGTATACCTAAAAAGCACCAATAAACTCAATGAGAAAAAAAAAAAAGAATTAGTCTTGCATTTTCATATTCTATTTACTAAGCACCTTTCAAAGAATTCTAAGATTATGACTAATAGCTTTTAGAGAGGGTTTATTAGATTAGTAGAAAATCAGAATATTAGAATATATTGCTAAGAATATTCCTTATTGATAGAGAAAATGCTAGGAGCATTTTTAAAATTACGACTGACTTCGATAGTGTTCCCACTGTACCTTGTCTTCCCGTTATTACTAATCTCTGCAGTCACTTAACATAGGAGGAAGGAGAAAACAGAGGAAAAGGGAGAAAGGTTGCCCATGAAATCATACTCAGTCTAGACACGGGGAAAGGGTGGGCATATCCTTAAACAACCTTCCTTTCCTTAAGAGACAAACAGAAGCAAAAATAGGAGTCTCCGAACAATTCACTGTCTTGAGTTGGCGACTGAACCCAGTGCCCTATTTCCAGCACTGATATGTATAAAAGATCTCATATTTTCTCCTAATGGTTTCTTGAAGTCATATCAACATTGCTGGTTTTGTAGTGAAGATCAGAGACCAGATAAAGTTTGAGGTTTCTAAAAACTGAATCACTGACAGAGCAGTTTGGTGTTAAAAATGTGCATCTCTTAAGCATATGAACATACACAGGCCAATACACCCACAAATGTTGAGATATATGTATGCATGTTCTTCCCTTCAGAGTCAAAGACCCGGAAGGAATTTTCCATACTCAATAATCCCTATTTCCTCCTCTCATCTCAGTGATTACTCAGCCCAGCTGGGGGGCCAGTCTCTACACTCAAACATCTGGTGACCCTCATCAATAGCCTCCTGACCCACTGAGCTCGGCAACCTTTAACATGGCTGTTCTCTCCTTGAGAAACACACTCTGCTGTTGGCTTCTGGGCTACAGTGTTCTCCTGCTTTCACCCTCACTTCTTTGGTAGCTCCTTCTCTGTCTTCCGTGATGCGCAACGCTCTGCCCAAATGTTAAACACTGAAATTTCTTTAGGCTTGGGCACAGCTCCCCTCTTGTTACTCAGTCCACCTGCCCTGGGCAATGTTACCTAGGACCACAGCTTTGATGCCATTTATAGACCAAACGTATATCTCCAGCCGTCTGCTCCTTTGAGCTCTAAGACCGTATTCTTAAGCCCACATGTTCAGTTGCCTGTGTGACATCTCCGCTTGGATCTTTCTAGGGCCCCTCAAGTCGTCTTTGTCCAGCCTAGCCAGAGATCTTCCTCCAGGATCTTTATCTCAAGAAATGACTCCACCATCCATCTTATAATGGTCAGGAGACACCCACGAGTCCTAGTTGATGCCTCTCCCATCCTCACCTTTAAATCTGGTTATCAAACCTTGTCAGTTCAACATTTTAAAAGCTTCTGGTTTCCATAATCTCTTTCCAATCCAAAATGCCATCATCTCTCAACTATAAAAACATAGTGCCTTCAAATCCCTGTATCCCCTCTGCCCTGATCTCCAATATTTTTGCTTCTCCTCACACCCTAGCTATGCCTTCTTCCTGGGATCTGATCAGTATTTGCAGACATTACCAACATCATACACACAAGAATGGACCTTTCACATTTAACATGAATAGACCCCACCTGTCAATAACTTGTGCTGGGTCCTCACACTCTTAAAGACCAAAATCCTGACACCACCATGAGGTCCTGCATGGTCTCTCCCAGCTCCACGCTCACAGTCACATCTCCGTCTCTGTCCTCTGCTCTGTGCCCCACTGTACCCTTACTGCTGTCACAAGGCTTTGGCCTGTGATGAGCCTGTGGGCCAGCTTACTCCTTCCTTTCCCTACACCCTTCACTTCCTTCTCTCTCCTCTTTTCCTCCTAGAAACCTCGGCATCCATTCATCGGGAAAGCTTTCCCTGGAGCTCAAGTCTGATCAGCTTCCTCCATCGTCATACACTCCTGTAGCTCTGTTCTTTCTCTTCAGAGCTCTTATCTCTTATTTCGCTAAGAGATTATACAATCAAGGCTGTGATCAGCTGACATTAATGTCTCTCTTCTACAAGACTGAGGGTTCATGAGTAGAGAGATTGCATTTGATTATATTCACATTGTTAATTCCCAGGGTGTGAATGCCACAATGCCTCTCATACAGTAGACATTCGATAATTAAATTTTAGTAAATTAATTAATTTATTGAACACTTGTTGTTTTAGGCAATGTGCCTATGTGCTTTTAAGCTTTCACGTCACCTAATACTTACAACAAGCCAACAAATTCAGCACAATTATCCTCCATTCACTAATAACAAAACAGAAGCTCAAAGAATTTCACTTGCCCAAGACTGATCCAGTCTAGTCACCAGTTGAGCCTTTTACGTCTAACTCTAAAGCTCTTGCTTTTCAACTGCTATTTGTGAACCTGCATGAGTCAATCAACTAATGTCCATTCAAGATTGTGTCCCTTTCAGGGTCTGGACAGGAAACAGATGATAATTATCGGAGGGTGTTCACAAGAAGACTCTTTACAGGGGTGGATTGCCACTGGACCCCAGGGTGACAGGATGCAGGGTTCACAGCTTTTGGCGAAGGGCGACCTTTGATCAAGAAACCCAGCCTGCCAGACATGACCACACAAGAATGTAGCCTGAAATAAATATCTTGGCTTTCATCCTCTTTCTCCTTTTGATCTCTTCCCACGAATCCCCAAGTCAGAGCCCGAGTAGAGGACAAAATCAAATGAAACCTATTAGCGTCAACCACACCTCAGCCTCCAAGGTTGGAAGAGGGGGACAGCAGACCCCAGAGGTGGGGACGTGAGCGCTAAAGCCCGTTTGCACTGCTCCCCTTCAGGAGCTCTCACGCCCTTCTCACACTCAGGACTCGCCCCCATCCTGGGCAGTGCGTAGACCTTCATAAGTTACAGGCTTGTCAAGCCAACCTCATCCGGCAACCATATTCCTCTAACAGTTCTTAGAGGTAGTGTAACTACAGTCGTAACAACAGAGGATTCCTTTTGTATTCACTGTTATAAGAACTCGGTGTTCACCTGAAACTAGTTCCCCACCCAAATGTCTCAAGACTTAGGAAATCGGAGACACCCATCTGTTCAAGTCTGACATGAAGAAAGCCAAGCCTCGTGTCCTCCGCTTGCCATTGTCTAGCTAAGCCTTCCTTCAGAGCTTCCAGGGAGCTCCTGTTCTCCCCACCAAGGCCGGAAGACACCTGTCCAGCACCCTCTCCTGGGAGCATCGTCTCTCCTTTTACCTTTATTAGTTCATGTGTGCAGTACACAGTGATCACTCGCCTTACGGAGAGTTGGTACAAGTACCTGACACGTCTCTATTCCTTTTCCATCCTCTTCCCTCCCTTCCCTCTCTTGGTCATCTTCCCTTTTGCAAAAGATTCCCCCCGTTCCCTATTGATTTTGTTCTTTATTTATACATTGAGTTTTTCATTAAAAAGAAGCCGTATGACATTCAAACTTGAGTGTTTGATATTTCACTTAACATTATGGTCTTGGGGTGCATCTGTTTTCCTAAAAGTGATTCCAATCTATCCTTCTTTATGGCAGAGTAGTAAATGCATTGTGTATAGACACTGAATCTTCTTTACCCATGTTATCATGTCCATGTTACAGCCGAGGAATAATGCTTAAAGTTTGCATAACCAAGGATGAAGTCCTATAGCTGATAAACCCAGATCTGCCTGACTCAGATTTTGTGTTATACTCCCATGGAGGAGACCTGTTCAACTTACCTCCCTACTTCTCTTATGTGGCACCACTGCCCCATGGACGGTCATATGAAGGAGAACTCGGCCCCTCGGTGACTTACAGCAGCCCTCCTAGGATCACACGGTGTAGCAGGACCACAGCCCTGAATCAGCCACTCCAAAAAAAACCCTCCAAATGCAAACTTTCCCACTGCATCCCCCTCCCCAAGACAAGGCTGCCAGGGTAAACCAGGAGGCCCTCCCACCAGAAGACCTAGAAGAATTCTCCCTTTCATCAAATTGGAAGGTAAAAGCAAGTTTATGGATAAGCCTCACTCTATTGTTTCTCAGAAAGAAATACACAAATAAGGAAATAAATAATCACAGGTTTATTTCCCCAACCGAAGAAGAAAAGCCTCTGATAAAAGCATCGTGAAGTCCGATTCATCCCCAGATGAAAGCACTATGTACCTCCTTTCTAGGGATTTCCCAAGTAAGTCCTTCCAACGGCAATGCCCAGAGCAGCAAGGGCTGGCTCACAGCCACAGCTGAGAGCATTTAGGAGCAACTGGGAGGACTTCTCTAGCTTCAGAACACTTTGGAGTCTTTAATGAACATTTTGAGGAAATGTCAGTGAAGGAAAACATCCAGTTTTGATTGCGCACATAAGCAGCAGACCCAAAACCCATCTTAATTTGGTGTCACAATAAACAGGATTTTAAAAATCAAGGGCTGGCACTTGAAGCCATGAGTACAATTTGAATGGCTTCATGAAATGGTGCTACCGTGAGCTTCCTTAGCAGGGCGGTGGTACATCGGATCCATACGGTAAAGCAGAGATGGCAGCCAAAAGGGCGGGGCATCCACTGCCCACCGGAGCCCAAGTCACATCACACACAGCCTTCCCACCGCCACTGTCCTACTTACAAATAGTAGAAACAGCTTCAGAATACAAACAGAAGTGACCGCAGCAACTCCAACGAAGCTTTCGCCAGACAGCTGCTTGACTTTGCAGGCTACAACATGAGCGGCAAAGCACAGAACTTTTTTCCTATTCCTCCCTCGTGTAGAGGTGGGTTGATTAATTCGTAGGATAGCAGGGATGCCTGAGCTGTGACTAAGGAGAGAGAAATTCAACAGCAGGCATCTCGTGCTCCCAGGAGGGGCCCCACATCCTCAAGATGCCCAAGTCCTGGAACAGTGTGTTTTCCCCTGGAATCCTACACTCTGAAAGCCACCCCAGAGAAGCACTTTGCGTGGAGTCAAAGCACTGTGCTCATGTGAACTGGAGACCCACAGGTGTGCTGCTGCGCACCATGAGAAGGGGTCCCCTAGATCTGGCCCTGGGCCATGAGCAGTACCTGCAAAAATAACCATCCCAAAGCACCAGCCGGTATTCCTCAGGACGCAGCCTCTCAGGATGATCTTCTGGTTGTTGAGCGAGTGCTTGCTGTCCTTCCAGGAGAGGACTCCCGTGAACTTGTCTAATTTGTTGTTAGGTGCCTCACAGACCACAGTCCCTGAAAAATAGAAAGGCAGACTTCTTTATGACTCACCTGGAGCTCTCTTTAGAAGCCCACAGCTCTAGTTTACCACCTTACTTTTTGTACACCGCACATTTTCCCTTCTCTTTTGGGCAGAAAGGTATTACATACGCAGGAAAAATAAGTTGTGCTAGGGAAAAATAAGCTGGGAAGAACAAAGATGAAAACCCATCAAATATTTTTAAATGTAGTTTAAAATTGTACTGTCCCAAAAAATTGAAATCACAGAAGTCATGAGACATTTTTTAAATTTTTTAAAAAATCACTTTATTTCTAATTTGTAGCAAATCATTTTTGAAACTACAGAAATGTTGTCCTGAAAGTTTTTCTTTTGCTGTAATGTGAATTGTCACACAGGTTACCATGGCATACATCCAATCTCATGGCAAAAGTCAACCACCTTTATGACTCATAATCAGGATGTAGGAGGTCCTACCATATTCCACCCCAGGGAATCCAGGGCTTTATTTGTCCTGTGCGCTTGAGATGGCATGGGATTCCTTTCAGCTGCTGTGTGCTTCTTATCTTGATTAGATTCAGAGTTCTGTGGACTCTTAGACGCACCATATAACTTGCCCAAAATGGCCAGAAGATGTTTCTACTTTTTGAAATTCCAAACCCATTCCAAACCAAGGAATCAATTTGTTTCATCATTTCAATCAGAAAATGCACATTCAGGGTGAGGGGCACACTAGACGGAAAAAGAAACCAGAAATGGTCTTTTATGGAAGCTGTCATAGATACAACTATCAGATTGATAGACTTTTCCATTGCAATTAGGGTTAAATTTTTACAATGAATGAGCATAAAGACATGAAAAACCAAAACAGAGGGAGAGGGGGGAGGAAAAAAGAAAAAGGGAGAGAAGAAAAGAATTCAAAAGGTGGCTATGGGTAGATCACTGGTGAAATCCAGCACCTACAACCTTCTCACTCTTAAGACAATCAAAACTTATGTATTCAATCAGAAGTCAAGAGGAAATTGAAACATAAAAAGCACCATTTGAAAAATAAAGAGGAGAGACATCTCCAGCATCTGGAGGCCAAAGGAGCTGAGTTTAGAGAACTTCTCTATGATGCTGTATCAGTCAGGTTTCCATTATGATCACAGAAAACTGAGGCAAATCAGTTTATAAAGAGAAAAAGCCAATGGTGGCTCCATTTTGAAGGTGTCAGTTCATGATGGATCAGCCCCGAGCTCTAGGCCTGTGAAGAACATGGCAGCAGGAGGACGAAGCAGAGCAAAGCCATTCACTTCAAGACTGGGATAGGAAAGAGACAAAGAAACAAGAATCCCACCAAGCTCTGAGGGCACATGCTGGTGACCTGAAACTCTCCCCATCAGATCCTACCTTGGAAAGTTTCCACCACTCCCAGTAGCACCAACATGAGGACAAAACTTTTAACAGAGGTTGTGGGGGATGTTTAAGATCTAAACTATAGCAGCCACTGTCTCTATTCCTCTCTACTCTGCCTTCAGAACATAAAGAAGCTTCTTATGTGTTTCTCTTCCTTCCAAACAAAATGACAGCCAATTCTCACATGGCCTGAACGTGCCTCACTAACAAGGTGACTCTTTCTAACAGCCTTTGCAATAAGGGGAAACAGATTCTGAAAGGAATGGGGGCCTCCTTCCTCTTCAGACTGCTTCTCCAACCTTCACCTACCTTTCCCAAAGACAGCAAAACTCGGGAGCACTCACTGCAGCCTTGCAGACAAGCAGACATTCTGGGTGAGATAAACAACCTGTCGACAGCCATTTTCATACTAAGGGAGGAGGCTGAACTGTGGTTGGCTCCTATTATAGCCTATTTATTTATTTAAAAGTAAATTAAAGCAGATTTAAACTGGCTCAAGTTGTTTGGACAACTACATTGTGGATAAGGAGAGTTCTAAATTCTCAGAATTCATTAGCTTTACTTATCGACCAATGATTTTTACCTCTGAATTTTGTAGAACCTTGAATTTGGTGGGCATCACTCACCATCCCTGTGTAAAACAATAGGCCTCTAAAGCTCATTTCAGTTTCTTGACCCAAGACTCTACTTCTCCAGATTCAAATTTGGCCACTAAAAATAAATAAATTTTTTAAAAATGTGATTTGGGCAAAAACAATGTGATACACGGTCCCTGCCAGTAAGAATATAAAAAACAGGTTCATTTGGATCATTTTTATTGTCATAAGCGAAGACTGACATGGAGGGAAAGACTGCCTTGAACATATTGGCTTCCCACTCCCTGGCTCCAGGGCTCAGCCTCCCTGGCCTCACCCCAAGGGTGCGGTTCTAGACAGGAACAGGCATTCAGGCCAGCGGGTTCTGCTTGAGTTCTCGGAGGCCAAGCCCCAGTTCAGCCTTTCTCAAAGAATGTGGTCCCAGTGATTGAAGTATTAAATACACGACCAGTCAAAACAGAATGGTGGGAACAAAGCCAGACTTCCTTTCCCTGTCATCCTCAGAAGCTCTCAGCTTCCCCTTTCGAAGCCCTGTAATTATAAAACACTGATTTCCTAATTTCTTCTCTGCCCCTTTCCAGAAAAGAAGAGGTTCTTTTGAAGGGAGTATCTCTGTAGCCCCACAACCTACCATACTGTCTTCACAATCAGTTCTTACTAAATATTCATAGAAGAGATGGATGGGGAAAACTTTGAGAGGGTTTCAAGAGAGAGGTTGGGAGATGAAATAAATGCTAGAGCAAAGATGAAGAGAAAAAGTAGACATAGTTCCCTAGCAATAATGACAAAGGAAATTAGGACATTAAGTAGCCCAGCCACAATAAGGGGCTTACGTTGACCTAACAAATAAAAGTCAAATCAATCCAAGAACAGAGGACAAAAGTGGGAGTCTCAAAGCACATCAGTAGAAACTAAAGTAGATCCTCATCATAACACATAAGGAGGACTAGGAAAAATTCCCTTAGGACTTTCTTCCTTTTTTTCTAATTGTATCAGAGAGGAGAAGAGAAAGAGGCATTAAATGGTTAGTTTGACATTGATAAGGAAGCCATTTAGGGTGCACAACATCTTTCCTCACAGCCATTCATTGAATATATGACGAGAGCACAAAGTTATATTTGTGATACAACTGGGGAGATCGTGTCAATAATGAAATGAACGGGTACAATTAAACTAGAGCATTTCATTTCTTTGTCCCTCCAAAAAGATGTGAAAGCCAACAATGACCCACATAGAAATACCCATACTGAATGAGGTCTACCAGCTCTCCTTCTGGATCTATTCAACATTCCAATAGGCAGCTGGAATACAGTTAATTACTCACTTGAGGAACCTCTCAAACTCAAGTACCTACATCAGTATCCAATATTCCATGATTTTTCAAAGAAGCTAACTTCATTTCTCACCATATGTTATTAGCAATATTTCTTGACTATCTGCACTGCATCTTTTCCATAAGAAAAATGATCTATCAAATAAGACATCATTGCTGCTGTTTAAGAGTTTCTCTAGCCAAAAGCTTCTTAGATTTTAGGATGCTGTCCACTCTTAGTGCCTGAGGGCTATAACTTTTTTTTTCGTTAGAAGAGTGTTACCCTCTATTTTCTAAAGCCCCCTTTTTCTTTGACCATTAAGTCTTTAGCCAACCATCACGACCACCACCTTTGCAATATTAGCACCAACAGAAAGCAGGATCATTCCTCGAGTCTTTCCATAGAATCTACATTTCATGCATCAATTGTGCTGTTGGGCTGTGCTTCCAACAAGGTGAACGGAAGAGCCATCTGGTACGTTTGAAGAGCCACAAGATGCTAAGCCAGCCTTTTTATTTCTTTTTTAACCAGAGAGAGAGATGCTTATTTTTTCTGTGCTGTAATTACACACATGCTATTTTTTAGAAAGGACCACAAAATACACAAAGATGCCTGAACAAAGAGTCAACCTTTCTCTGTTTCAGAATTTGGTATTAACAGTCATACAAAATATGTAAACTTGTCAGGAGTTGCAAAAAACAGATTTCAGTCCAGTCAGTAACAACAGACAAAAGATTCTTGGAACACATTTGGACAATTTACATCCGGGGCTTTCCCCAAGGCATAAGAATGTCCAGTTTACAGATGTATAATTGACAAGTATTTCCAGTCACATATTACTAAAGCATCTCAATTCCCATAAGACTTTAACATGGAAAAATCATGGGTCACTCAATTTTTTATGGTCATTATGTTAGATCAAATTGTGCATCATTTCTTATAAAATTTGGTAGACTGTATACTAACTTTTTCAGGTGTATGAATGAATAAAAATTTTTATATGAGAACTTTTCAGTTACGTAGATTTTACCTACTGAAACCTAACCCTCTCTTGTGTGTACTGGCCAGTCTTCTTACAAATTCTTGCCGGGGATCCTGACATTCAAGATCACTGAGAACATTGCTATGTAAACATATATATATGTGCTGCCGTCATCCTCCTATGGGAGGGACTTGCTTTCTGGTTCACTTTACTCCTCTGGGGTTAGAGTATTTTAGTTAGTTACTTAGTTAGTTAGTTGTGCTAATCTGCCCTCATTCTCCAGTGCTGCTTTGCTGCTGAGAGTGTAGAACCTTCGTGCTCTTTGTCAAAAACAAGCTTTGCCAGCAGTCTGAGGTTCACGTCCTGACTCTGCCTGGTCACCGTGATATTGGAAAGCTTACTCAATTCACTGAGGTCTCAGATTCCCTATTCACAACTTGAAGCTAGTCATAATCTCTTCCTCCAAAAGCTGGAAGGATTTAATAAGATAATGTGTGCAATTACTCATGAATATGGTGTCTGATCCATAGTGAGTACTTGTCCATGTGTCAGCATCACACTTAGGATTTGAGAACTTGGGATTGTCCCTTTTAAAGTCTCCTTCAGCATAAGCCCTTGTTCCGGTCTGTCTTATCTCCTTGCCCCATGAGAGCAAGACCTGACTCCACTAACTGTCATATCCCCAGGCAAGTTCCCCAGCACTGTGTGAAGTTTGTATTTGTTGAATTAATTAATTAATTAATTAATTAAAAGAAAAGCTCCTGTAACGCTTAAGGAGGCCATAAACAAGACCCTGTCCTTAGGTACAAATGTAAAGCGGGGGGGGCAGGACACTAGTGAGAGACACCCCAAAGCCAAACCCGTTTATTCTAACCCTACGTCGATTTGGAGTCCTCAATTTGGGGTCAGTCCTCTGTTGGGACTTCTCTAGGAATAAGAACAGGAAATTCAGGTCTTCAGATACTTGGAAGGTATGCATTTATGATACAAGGATGGGAACTGTAGTGTGTTGCTAGTAAAGGATTCCGGCAAGTCTCAGAAGAAAAACCACAGAATAAATAGAAGGAAAAATAATGTGACACTCGGACTTGCCCAGAATTCCCAAGCTAAAGGGCACATTTAGCACAGTCAGAACATGGGAAACAGTGGGCTCCCATGGGTCTCAACTGTACCTTGCCACTTATGGCCAGGTACCTCCAAGGCCACACAAAGCTGATAGCACATTTCTAAGTGCAACTCAAAGATGCAACATTTGCTTTTGATTTCCCTGACTTGAGGAAGTCTTTTAGTCACCAGAGGAAAATCTGAGCACTACTGATACTTCATTGAGGCAAAGGTGATAAAGAGGATACAAGAAAGAGGGTAGGAGGGTGCCGGTGAGGGAACAGATCGCAAGAACCTTGTTAATATATGTAGAAATCTTTTATAATTCCACATACTTTGTTTTAGAGCTTGTCTGTAGGAGTGTTTAATGAACAGACTGTAAGCTAATTAACATGGAGAGCATGATGAAACCAGAAAATTAAAAAAAAAGGAAGAAATGAAGGAGAAGAAAGCCAATAGAGAAGAGGAGGAGGAGGAGGAGGGAAATAATGAAGAGGAAGATGCAAAAAAGCCTGACAAAAAGGCAAGAAGAGAGAGGAGAGTGACGAAATGGGAAAGTCAGACAAATGTGTGGAAATCACAGACAGGGCACGAACATGGGAGAGACAGCCGGAGAAAGGTTGGAATTACAGCATGTAGATGAGGACTTGGGATGCACTGAATGGAGGAGACACCAAAAGATCCAGGAAAGCAAGAGAAAGCATGGGGAGGATGCAGAATTTGCTAACTGCCCCAGCTTTTTCAAAGGCTTTTCCCTACCACATCTTCCGTCACTCTCGTGGCCTTTAAATCTGGCTATGAACAGGGGAAATCTAATTTTTATTTTATATCTAATTTATTTCCCCTTCCTCCATCTACTCATTCTTCAGATGCCCTCTTGGAAACAGGAAATGATACTTTAATAATTTAATACTTTAATGCTCCTACAAAATACCACATGACATCAAACTTTAAGACAGATCAAAATGCAACCCAAGATGGAAGGATGAAAAAGGAAGTTTAGCAGAAAGTTGGTTCTTAGCCCAAAAATGTACCAGTTTCATGAATTTGTCATTACGTGTTCTCTGAAAAGTGACCACAGTTTAAGTACATGTACTAAATAGAAAAGAGAGATCTGTGCTGCCTTTATTTGGGAAAATAATTTTGCTTTGGGGATTTGTTGAGCTGCCAATCCTGAGTAAAGCAAATTCAGGTCACATCTAATAAGTATTAATTACTCTTGCATTTTAAAAGTAAATTTTACAAAGTACTCTTCGGACCATTTCTAATGAAAGCCAATCTTTTAACCTCCTGGACCCTGGTTACCCCATCTGGAATACAGAAATCATCTTAGGAGTGGGAGAAGTATTTCTATGCATTTGCCAAACAACGCCGTCTGCACTGATTTGAGTGTGGCTCTGTGTTCAGCTTTGATGGAGAAAGTTATTCAGAAGTAAAGACATTAACATTGCCCTCCTCCAGGTGACCTCTCTCCCGACTACCTGCCCTCCAGAAGGAGCGGACCCTGCACTCCTGTTCGTTCCTACAAGGCCCCTTCAGCAGCCTTGGGCCCTTTTTCTGCCCTCCCTGGCTTGCTAAGACCTGACACTGACCCTGCTCCTCACTCCCTGGTACCTACAACCATTTATTCAATCACTTGTTTAGCAAGGATTGACCAAGCACTTAGTATGTGTAGGTGTGGAACAATGGACAAAACAAAGGTCCCCGTGTAGCTTGCTGTGAAACAGATGGAGATGGGCAATAAATAATAAACTGAAAATAAATGAATTGTATAGTATGCCAGATGCTGGTATGCCAGAAGAAGAAAAGGCAAGCAGGCCAGAGTGGACAGAAGTCGTATTGGAGAGAGGACACTCAGCCTCAGTCCTGCAGCTCCATGTACGAAATCCACCTATTCTAGCCTGGTTCTTCACATTGTCCTGGCACTGACAAACACGGTCACAATTCCTAGAGAGTGTGGCAGAGACAGTGGTCAACAAAGGCCCATGCCTGTCGTCCACTAGCCGCTTTTGTGGTCAGGGTTGGGTCAGGTGACTCATGACAGCCCATAAAACAGGAGAGCAAAAAACTGACTCAGAGTGTCTCTTTCATCCCACCCTTCCCCTGCCAAGTGACCCTTGGGCCTTAGCAAAGGATACGGGTAGAAAAGGCTACCCCATCACATGAGAATGCGCTCCAAGTAAGAAACAAACCATCACTGTATTTGTGCCAGTAATATTTCAGGGTGTTGTAACCGCCTTATGGTGCAGGCCATCTATGGCAACACCTACAAAAAAGAATTAAGTAATTGCAACCATCATTTTTTGCTTCTTAATTGTCAAGAGCACTTAAAAAATCATCAACTTCCACTTCTTTATAAATTGACAAGTCTAAAGTTCTACCAGGAAAGAAGTGAGTAATGGTAAATTATATTTAGGTTCTCCTTTAAGGTCTCCATAAATATTCAGTGAGGTATTTTAAGCAAGTATTTTGACTCACGTATATAAATTACTGCTTTTGGATTCACATAACAGTAAAATTTCATTGAAAAAATAGTTAGAAGATGTGTAATTTGTTTTAATCTAATCAAAATAGTTCTTGGGCCATTCAAACTTTCCAAGCTAATCCCCTGACTTCATTCTCAATTTGGAAGAATATTTTTAATAAACATTTGTTATAATGGCACTCATTTAAGAGATTAAAATATTAACAGATTCCAGAACCAAGTTTACAAGCAAATGCAAAGCATGGGTATTATAAGCTCTAAGGCTAAACTGTGCACTGGAGAACTTTACAAAATAAACTTGCCTGGAACATAACTCAGGGGAAGATGCTAAGTTCACATTTTTGTATAGTGGACTCTAAAGAAAACAGTTTGGAAAGTTTGTCTCAAAATCATAAAGACTCGCTCATAAAGAAAACCAAACTACACAGAAATTTTCATGTACAAGTGCAGACTTATAAGTGACTAAAGCAAAAGACCTTTAAGGAATGGCAGGAAGGCCCCTAAGATTCTCCCTGAACTTTATCACGGTGCCTAAAACCCTACCTGTAGTGTACCTTTTCCTTGACTCTTAAAGATATTTTCGTTTCTCTATGGTCTCTTCAGTATCAAAAGCAGATAACCCTAGGATGGACACTATCTAGAGGTCATTCCAAGAATATTTAAGAATAACTTTAACAACAACAACAAAAAGATATACTTGGAAAATTACAGAAGCCAGGACAGCCTAGTGAGGAGCAGGGGACTAGGTTGAACAGTGTAAAGATGGTGACTAATAAAACATCATTCAAAACAAAAGGCAACAGATGGCCAGCTGCTTCGTAAATGAGAAAATTCTTCCTGAACACTTGCTATCCTCAAGACGTTACGCCAGTACTGTGAAAAATACATGGGCAGGACAACTGTCTTCATGAGTTGGGTCTTTGTGTGGGACAGCACAATGGATGGACAGTTAGACCTAACACTAGAAATTAGAGTATGGCCTGCATTCACTCTCAGCAAGTCTACACAGGGACCCAGGAAGCCATGGCCCAGCAAGCAAATAGCACAATGGGACTCAGGGATGGGATGGAAAGAAGGGAGTGAGGATGAAATCAGAGGTGGCTGGAAGATGCCATTCTCCCCTTGGTAAACACCTTTACTCTTCAGCCTGAGAAGGGATGGCAGTGTTTGATGCCTGGAGAATTTTATGTCCTTCTACCAAGTAAAAAGAAACATGAATTTGACCTCAGATAATTAGTTTCTTACACTGCTTTTTAGTTCTGAGGTTTTGGTTTGTCTGTTTAAAACACTTACCATCAAACCTTGCAAGCCGGCTAATGTCTGCTCCAAGTTCTGAGGTAACGGAGAGCGCATGACGAACTTTAAGGTTTGTTTCCCTGTGAAGTTAATGACATGGTGTGAACTTCTACACAGAACGGCCCCACAGCGTCTCACCAGAGCGATTGGGTGGGCGCATCATGGGCCATTCCCAGCCCAGGCTCTCTGAAGACCACCTCCCCACCACCACAGCCCTGTCATGCACACTTCTCACACAGTCTTGGGAAAGTGAGTAGGGCTGTTCGGGCTCCTAAAGTTGGCATCCACTCACCACACATTTGCGTAACCACACAGTAATCTGTTTCGCAATGTGAAAGAACTGGGAACATAATAAATATGATTTCATTTGAATCTACTCAGACACATGCAAGAGTTATAAAACACACTAGGGATAGGAACACAGTTGCCAAGTAAAGGAGGCCTATACCACTCCAGAGTCCGCTATCAGCGCAAGAGTTCTTGCAAAGAAAAAATGAATTTTATGGTAGCTGAAACTTAAATGGGAAAAAGAAGACAGCTTTATTTTTCTTGGAGAATCAACCCAAGAAATCTATAAGTCTAGATTAGGACAACCAGGCAAGCTCGGTGAGTTACTTAAGCCGGTTATCTTACAAGGCCTCACGTACTCTGGAAAAGTGGCACATTGGTATTAGTGAAATGGCCAGCAGTGATTCTGTCGACATCTTACTGTCTCGTGTTTAAGAATTTTCCATCCTAATTCTCACTGAGTTCAACTGAATTTTCCTCTCAGGTATCTTAAAATTATCAATCAGAGTCTTTTCTTTTAAGTAAATGGTTCCTCCCATCAAGAAATATTGACTAACTACATACCACAGTCACCTGAGAGAGTCAGTGCTTCCCAAAGAGGGTTACTGTTTTCTTGAGAGAAAAAAGTAGAAAGTAAAAATAAATTTTTAAAAATATGTCCGTTTGTGGAATTATATGCTAACCCATGAAATCCATGAAGATTAAAGAACTAAGAAACAGATACCCTGGAGAACATTCGATCTAACTTCCTAGAAATGAGATTCACAATAATGTTAGGACAACACGAGTTCAATACAAGAATGCCCATTGGTGAAACAGCTTCCTTTAGGAAACACACAGTTGGATGTATAATTGAAGTTAGTTAAAAGTAATCTTCTCAATCGAAATGTATCAATTCCCAGAAGGCAGAGATAAGAAAGGATTCAGATGGTCAATGAGGTAGAAACTGAGCTGGTATTGGTAGACAAAAGTATGATAAATAGTTTCAGGGCTCAAGATCCAATATGTCCGTATCCATTTATACTACTTTTTGAATAATTATATCGACCAGGCCAGCAAGCCCTAGTTCCCTAACTCTACCAGATCACTCATCAAAGTTCACCATCATTTTAATTTATTTCCTCAGGTGTCTCTCCAATACTTCATCTCCACCTCCAAACGTAAAAACTACAAGGGGGAAAGTAATCACACATAGGCCTTACTTGATACTTTAAAAATTATCTTTCAATACTCTTGATCAATGCCCTCAGTGTTGTACACACTCTTTTAACCTACCCAAAGATCATGATAAAATTCAAACTGATGTTTAGCACAAGAGACAATACATAAAGGTTTGTGTAGCGTGCACCCAGTTTCGCCTAATGGTGACACCTTGTAGCCCTACAGCATAACATCACAACACAGGTAGAGACAGTGGCCCAGGCAATGTACAGAACGTTTATTTCTACCAAACCAAGGAGCCCCCAGGCTTCTCTTTATAGCCACACTCATTCCCCCTGTCCCCATCTCCTCTTTAATACCTGGAAACCACTAATCTGTTCTCCATTTGTATGATTTTGCTTTGGCAGGAATCTTATAGAAGTGGAACCATACAGTGTGCATTTCTCAATCCTGTAGCATCACTTGAGTTACCCAGCAGAATTCTCTGAAGGGTCAGCCCAACATTGCTTAGCTTCTTCCTCTGCATTTCCGAGTAGCATCTCATGACACGTTATGCCGTATTTTGTTCTATCATTCACCTGCTAAAGGACACCTCTGACGTTTGGGAGGCTTCAGATGCAGCAGCCCTAAACATTCATGAATAGGTTTTCTGTATCAACAGAGGTCTTCATTCCTCTAGCACAAATGCCCAGGAGTAAAACTAGTTGCATGTTCGGTTTTTAAGAAATTGACAAATCATTGCAAGAGTCACTAACATTCTACATTCACACCAGCAGTGTAAGAGTAAGGCTGTTTCTCCACATCCTTGCCAGCCTTTGGAGCTGCGTCACTATGTTTTATGTGAGCCGCTCTGAAAGATCTGCAGTGATAAAGCACTATGGTTTTAATTTCCCTAATGGCTAAGGATGTTGGACAACTTTTGGTGTGTTTATTAGCAATGTTCTCTTTGGTGAAATGTCTGTTCGTGTCATTTGTCTACTTTGTAAGTAGGGTTTTTTCAACTACTGAGTTTTTTTTTCTTTAATTGAGTTTATTGTTACACTTTAGGTATACAGTAGAGTTACACTCATTATTGGGATCCTGTACCTTTACATGTCAGGTCTTGGTTCTCATTTTTTCCCATTGTCCCTGCCCTCCCTTCACCCCCTCCACTCCTCCCAGTTTACAAACACTTTATTTCCATTTTTTCATTTTCTCATTTTTTTTTCTTTTCCCTTATTCCTTTTCCCCTACCCTTCCCACTTTCCCTACACCTTTAGCCTTTTTCTTCCTATTTCACATTGTTAATTATCTCATTAGGATCTTGTGTACTATTATAGTTTTTTCACACCGAGAAACTATTCAGTATTTATACCTGTGTGACTTATTTATTTCACTTATCAACTACTGAGTTTTGAGAATATTTTTACATATTCAAGATTCAACCCCTTTGTTAAATTGATGCTTTGCAAATAGTTTCTCCCAGTCTGTAGCTTATTATTGCACCCTCTTCACTGGGGTATTAGAAAGAAAAAAAGTTTTAATTTGATGAAGCCCAGTTTATCAAAATTTTCTTTTTATGGATCATGCTTTTTATGTCAAATCTAGTAACTCTTGGATCTAGTAACTCTCAAAGATCTTTTCCTATATTTTTGTCTAAAAGTTTTAAGATTTTATATTTTAGATTTAGATTTAACTTCCTTAATAGTTATAGAATTATTCAAGTTATCTGCAGGAGACCACAATAGTGATTATGCCCAAATCAGGCTGTAAGCAGTGCAGGCTATAAGCGTTAACCCCACAACTGACTTGTTTATAGTAGTGACTCTGGCCAAAGCCTACGTGTCAAAATCAGAGTAACACATGCCCAGATTCCATTCCCAGGACTAAAACCTTCAGGCTAGAAGGACAATTTTTTTTTTTTAGTTTTCAAACTGGGTTGGTTTTTAATAATAGACTATTTGTTTATTTTTCCTCAGTTTATTGGTAACTTTTAGGTCTACAGTACAGTTACATTCGTCATTGGGATCTTGTACCTTTACATGACAGGTCTTGGTTCTCATTTTTTCCCCTTGTCCCTGTCCTCCCTTCACCCCCTCCTCCTCTCCCCACTTACAAATATTTTATTTCCATTTTTTCATTTTCTCATATATTTTTCCTTTCCCTTATTACCTTTCCCCTACACTTCCCATTTTCCCTACACCTTTAGCCCTTTTCTTCCTATTTCACATAATGGAAATGGATACATATTGAGGATATATTCCTAAGTGAAATAAATAAGTCCCACATGTGTAAATACCGAACAGTTTCTCTGGTGTGAATGAACTATAATAGTACATAAGATCCTAATGACATAATTGACCATGTGAAATAGGAAGGACAATATTTTAATCACAACCATATATCTAGTCTATTCTGCTCCTAATTTGAGAATGCTGTGCCTTTTCCTTCATGAGACTTCTTTACTTTAACTTCCACAGAAAGCACACAAGTGAGCACATCTGCTACCCTCACACACAGCTTGCCCTTACCCCAAGTGATTGCCAATAAAAATCAGTGGCTTGGACAGACCAGCACCTTTGTCGGTTGTCCCAGCACTGGTCATCCTAGCACCCTGCTTTCTCTCCTAGTTCTGCCTTTTAGTTTTATTTCTTGGGCCTGAGTTGTATACTGGGCAGGAAACCGGAACCCAACTGCAGTGGTTATCTATTTTGTATTGGGTGAATAGCCTTGTTTTGTTTTATTTTGTTTTGAAGAAGTGCTCCATTTTGTCTCAGTTGTCACATTTTTGGTGGTAGTGTTGTGTGAAGTATTTCTTCCTTATCCCTTAGACATTTTCAGGATCGGTAGTGATTCACCTGGTTCATCTATGATACTAATAATTCATTCTCATTCTCTCTATCTCTCACAACAGGTTTGTCAACTAAACTGATAATTTCAAAAAAATCTATTTCGTTGACTTTCCTTGTTTTGGTGCTCAAGTTTGTTAATTTTCATTCTTAATCATCCTTGCCTCCTTCCATCCACTTGGTTTGGATTTATGCGGCCTTTGTCCAGGTTCTTGAGACAGGAGTTTGATTTGAGACATTTTTAAGGGTATGCATCTCCCTATCAGCTGTCTCTGAGAGTGTTCTGTCCAAACCAGGAGTGGGATGAGCACACAGCCCAAAGGCTACTTGAGGGGCTCATTATGGCGATGACTGCTAGACTGCCAACTTTGTGTCCTAGCACAGAGCTGCCATGTTGTCTATAACTAAATTCTAAATTAATGTCAATTTCCAAAGGGCACCAAAATTTCCAGTAGTAGAAGTGGTTTCTTCCTTCTCTCTCCTCTCTCTGCAGTTTCACCTGTTGGCTCCTAAAGGTCCCTTTCAGTCCCTCCTCTCTCTGAGGACACTGACCTCTACTCTTTTCATTTTCCTTAGAAAATCACTTGAAATTAAAACAAGCAAAAGCTTCCAGGGCATTTCGCTAAGAGTCCCCAGGCACGCTGTTCATGTGCACATGTTTAACTCACTGTTTCTGGAAGAAAATAAACTCAAGAGGAAAGAAATTCCCAGGTAAATTTAAGAGAAATTTTGCTTTTAAAATTACTGCAAAATAACTAACACTGGGGTTGGCCACTCAGATTCCTATCTCTTCCAAGAAAATAAAGAATGAGGTTTGAGACCCATTTCTAAAGACTCCGTAAATTAAAAAACAGTCTAATCAACTATTCCGATTCAACAACTTACCCATCCAGCTCGGCAGTTTCAATGTAACAGAGACCATGGGGCTCACTACTTGATAGAAGAAGCAAATCAGCCTGTTTCAAGAAATCATGGCACAGAATACTTGAGAAGGGAAGACAGGCTGAAAGGCAGATACGCTCACTACCCTCCACTACTAATTAGCCCTCAGAGCCTTAGGAACAACGCTCATCCAAGAGACTCTGTACTACTTCCGGGTCACTGCCCTGAACCGGCGTTCTCTCCCAGCCGCTGACCCCATCAGAAGCTAGGGCTGGAGGTAGCACACAAATTAGTAGCCACTTGCTTCACCTTTTTCAATCATTACTTGCTTTGCTAGGTTTTTTGTTTTGTTGTCGTTATTGTTGTTGTTGTTTTGCTTTGATTGTTACTACTGGAAAATGTAAGTCACTCTCTGATTAAATAATTATAAATATCTGTATGCACACATGTTACTTAGTATGATCAATTAAGGACAGAGAGCAGGCAACGGAGATGGGGGAAGACAGATGAAGTAGATGGAAACTGAAAAGAAAACCTGAAAGGCAAAGAAATAGGAAAAGAAGAAGGAAAAAGACAAAGAAAAAAATAAGCAAAAACTGAAAAGAAATGGGAAAGAGAAAGGAAGTGGGAGCTTAGGCAAGAGAACAAGACAAAACAGAAAATATAGTAAAAGACATGGGAAAAGTTCAGATATTAAATTTTTTTAAGATAAGTCATCCTATTTTGAGGTCCACTGGAGATTTGGATTACCTATCACAGTTCAGCTTCAGAATTCCCATAGCTTTCTATAGTAGGAAATGGCTTATCTGTTTTAATTTAAAATTTCACATTTTGTTTTAAAAGTAAGTGCTTTTATGAAATTCCAAAGAGCTTGAATGTCTAAAAATAATTGACTTAAGTTTCAGCAACTTCTTTTCAGACATTAGCCTGGCAATTTTCTTCCTGTATGAATGTGTAACTAGCATTCCAAATCTATGACATTTTCTTACCTTTGTCCTTAAAAATATTAGAGTTGCTTCATCCTCAAGTCTTGGAGGTTAAAATTAGACTCTACTGGTTTCACTGTCAAAAGATCCTAAATTTCCAACTCAAAAATAGCTGTATGTGCATGGAGTTTTGTGCTTGTGTGTATGTGAGTAGTTTTGTCTAAATTAGGATAAAACAGAGCTGGAAAAGTCCCTAAAGGAATAAATGGGGCTGAATGATTAAGGCTTCTCCTCAGCCCCGAATGAAACAACCTCAGAAGCTGATCCAGGCAGAAATTATCTTCTCACTTGTCCAAGTGTAAGCACAACACACCCACACAGAGAATGTGTCCAAAGCTGGTGTCACTGCGAAGCAGCCATTCCCCATCCTGATCTAAAAGGGGAATTTTTTTTTTTTAAATTCTCCTTGATCTTATTGCCCATGTCTGAAGCTTAAATATTGTTTCTCTTATGTGAAAAAAAAACCCCACAAAATATAAATAAATTAAAGAGCAAAACAAAAGATAGACGATAGAAGACAGGGAGACAGATCCTTCAAAAGGGAAGGGAACCACAAGACGGAGAGGGAGGGATGAAAAAAGAATCGAGATGTGTCGTGTACATGTTCCAACTCCCCATGATGGATGTAATCATTATATACTACAAACACGCACCAATAAAGTAAAAATTTTAAAATCACTGCATACGGGCCTAATCCTGGCAGTGGGCAAGATTAAAGATCTCGGGGTCCATGACTCTCTTTACCTAAGCTTAAAAATCCATTTTTAACAATATCCAGAATTCTCTAAGCATCTGTGATTAAAAATATATGTGTTATAACATATAGAGGAATATATCTATTCCTACACAGCATTGCAGAGAAAGTGGTCCAGTGTTGCTGTCCCTTGTGGTAACCACGGGGAGGCTGGCGACACGTGATGAAGGCATCACTGCCACCTGGTGGCAGGATTCTCCCCCGGAAAGAGGACCCAATTTCCTAGAGGCTGAAAGTGTAACCCCACGGGGATTGTAGCCCAGGGCTCCTGCTTTGTCTTCCTGGGAACCTGGAACTTCTCCCTTGCCTGCTTCTTCTGGTCTCTGCCACTGCCATCTCTTAGATGTCCTCTGGACACTCCCACTCCCTGGTCTCTGTCCGACCCTCTTGTGCATCCTCCCTCTCCACTCCCTGTGCTAAGCCTTGGTGCTCCCTTCTGCTCACCTTCCCCTTGGAGGTCTGGGGCAAGGAGGAACAGATTGGGCAGGGCCCCCCTACTTTCTAGTGCACTTGGGAATACTTCAGGTAAGGAAAGGGCACACAGATCCCAGTTAGAGCCCCGGTAGTCCCTGGTTACCCTTTGATCAGAGGTGCTGGGCCAAGAGTTGGAGCAACCTAGGAGTGGCACCAGGCCCAGGACTCCAAGCATCCCAGACTGGACCCCCTCCAGTAACCCCTCCAGGAAATCTCAGGGGATCCAATTCCTACTTGATCTGGAAATTGTGTCCCAGCTATAGGTATTTAGGAAACCAACAGCCAATATTTAGAGAGGACCTTCCATATCCTGACACTCTCCTAAGAGCTTTACATGTGGGCTTTTATTATACTGTCACAGAGATCCTGTCATGTAGTCCTGTTGTTGTCCAGCCCCACTGTACAAATGAGGAAAGTGAGACCCAGAAAGGCTTAGTAACCTGATCCAGACTGAGTGGTTAGGAAGTGGGGCAGCCAGGATTTGAATCCAGCCAGGTGGAAGCATAGACGGCAGGTCACTCAAATCCTTTTTCAAGAATTTTGTAGTTCAGCAAGGCAGGATGAGATAAGGGCTCTGCAGGCCTTATTAACAAAGTGCTATGAGACAAGTGTGAATGAGAAAGCACACTGAGTTGGTAGTTGAAGACAGGCATCATAGAAGATTCCAGGAGCGATAGAGGCAGATTCCGGAAGCAATAGAAGCAGGATTCCAGAAGCAACGGAAGGAAGATTCCAGAAGCAAATGGAAGGAAGATTCCAGAAGCTATGGAAGGCAGATCCCAGAAGCAATAGAAGCGGGATTCTAGAAGCAATAGAAAAAAGATTCCAGAAGCAATAGAAGCAGAATTCCAGAAGCAATAGAAAGAAGATTCCAGAAGCAATAGAAAGAAGGTTCCAGAAGCAATGGGAAGCAGATTTCCCTGGCAGAAGCACAGCAGGAGTAAAGAACAAGCCAAGAAAACACACTTATTTGAACCCACAGGTAGGTCAGACAACAGCTAATAATCTGACTAGACCCCCATTTGTACTCTCATCTATCAGCTCTCCTTGACACCTTTTCCCATGCCCTGCTTGGAGAAGCACAGCTGTATTTTGCCTCAGACCACCCCCTCCCCAACCAACAGAGGCAACAAAAGGCCAAGCAGCTGCTTCATGGACACCTGGAACAAATATTCCTGTGAGAGAAAATATGAAAGAAATCCATGGACCCACTGAATGTCTGAGTCCTCTAAACCAAAGACAAACCCTCAGAGAGTAATTAGGCATACATGTTTGCTAAGTTAAAGAATAAAAGAAGCCAAACCTCAATAAATGATAACACCATAAAGCTATGCCATGCCGTTCTTTTTTTTTTTTTTTTTTTTTTTTTTTTTTTTTTTTTTTTTTTTTTTTGCTGCTTCTTCTTTTTCTTGGTACCAGGGATTGAACTCAGGTCCTTGCGCTTTCAAGACAGGGAGTGGAACCACTGAGCCAAATCCCCAGCCCATATGCCACTCTTTAAGAATTTGTGGAACACTGTGTAGTAATTGGGTTGTTTTATCACTCAACAACCCTGTGGATGGGTAACACAGTTCCCAGGGTATATTGTATGTGTGAGGAACCTGGGGAGGCCCTGTCTGCCCAGCAATGAGGAGAGAAGGGACGCCGCGGACTGCACCCGATGAACTAAATTAACTCAGGCAAAGCCCATTTGGCTTTTCCAGAGTAACAGAATCAACTCAGCTACCTGAGGAAGTCAAGGCCCCAAGAGATTTAATCCCATGCTCATGGACACATGCACATCGCTTCCATTGCAGAACTGGACCGAGCGTTCAGAACTTCTGATCGCAAAATGTGCATTCTTTCCTCCAGTGTGCTCATGAGTCACCGGATCCCAACTACCAAAAATGGAGAACGCTTCACTTGTCTTTCTTTGTGGGTGCTCAAAACCAAAACTACAATGGTATGAGAATATCAGAATAGCAGGGCTGTGAGCTCATGAGACATTTGTAGCATGGACTTAAGCACCACTTGTGGATTCCCTTTAGTTTTGTAAGTCAGTCTCATCTTCTTTATTCTGCATATTATCTTTTATTGTGTCATCTAAAAATCAAAATCTAGATTACAAGTAACTCATGTATTACAAGACAAAAATCAGAATTAAATCATAAAAATGAAAAATTTACACTTTTGACCCAGTGAACTCATGATGAATATCACTAAGATGTACTAAAATCATCATTCATTGTTTTGGGTCCTTATAATTAAATTAATTTGAGAATAAGAAAAGGATGGTGATCAAAGAAAAGAGCAGAGGGAAGAAAAATAACTGATATCATAGCAGGCTCTTCCCCTCATATCAGAAACCACCCTTGCCTGCGTATTTTGTCCACACAAATTGTTAACTGCTTATGAACAGAACACTGTCCACTCACATTTTTCAAAATGTAGAAGATAATTTATTGCCTTTCCACACTTTAACGATATGCCTCTTCTTCAATAAGTTTGGACCAATGCATCCTTTAAAATAATTCCCCGGTAAAGTCCCAGCTATCTACCATTATAGACACATGAGACTCATATAAAGCAGGTGGGGAGGGGAGTTTATTTAAGGCAATTAGGTTGGGAGAACTAATGACTTGGACTTAAAGCTGTAAGATTTAAAATAACAAGGAGGGCAATTAGACCACAGAAATGGTCCCTCTGGAAGCCTAGCCAAGAAAGGTCAGGCCTAGCAATTAGATCAAATTAATCTTTCCAAGCCTAGCCTTTTGGAAAGGTAAACATGTTTTAGTTCCTGTAATTAAAAGACGACTTGGATTTTTGTTTGTTCGTTTGTCTTTTATTTTTGTACCAGGGATCAAACTCAGGACCTTACACTTGCATACTTGCGAGGCAGGCACAGTGCCACTGGCCCAAAAATGACTTGGTTTTAAAGCAAAACAAAACAAAACTAAAATGTAGCTGTAGAAAACACCTAGAATATGAATATCTGGGGACAAGTGTTAAACAAGTAAATAGCTAAATTTTCACAACGTTCAAATGTGTTCGCATCCAGTAAGGGGTTTATTTCTATCATCACCTAAGAAAAGCAAAGCCAACAGTCATAAAGCAACACTGTTGAGAAAAGGGGATGGTGTCCTGGGCCAGGTGCCGGGCTCCGGTGGTGCTGACAACTCTGTAGCATGTTTTCTTTTAATTTTATTTATTTATTTATTTTTGGGGGGTACCAGGGATCAAACTTGGACCCTTCCATTAAGCTAAATCCCCGGCCCATGTAGCATGTTTTCTAATGGTTGGCTTGGTTCTTCTGATGCAAGTCGGTCTCATTGTGTTATCTAAATTCTGCTGTACTCTCCCCAGTTTCACAGTAAAAATAGGAGTTCTGAAATTTCAGCCCAAGAATGTCCTTGAATTAAAAAAAAAAAAGTGTGGAGGGCAAGGGGGTTATTTTCTGGAAAACAAAAATTGGAGCTTCTGAATATGTCAGCAAATTGGCAATTTCAGGTGAGCACCTTTCCTTGCTTAAAATTCGCTGCTAAACTGATGTAAATCAGGGTATAAATTCTAAGTCTGAACGGATTAAATCGGGTACAATTCCCTCGGATCATTTTGCTCCCAGCATCCAGGCAGGAGCCCCGCATTAGATTAATATGGATTTGCTAAATTTGCAAATGTAAGTAATTCATTATATCTGATACTTTAATCTCAGATGAATTTTATAAGCAATGTCAAATACTCACGGCAACAAACTGGTTATTTTCTAGTTTAATGATGTCTCCCACTTTGACATTCATCCATTTTTCATTCTGCAGTCTGAAAACAAAGGCAAAGATAATTTTTTTTCAAGAACAGGAAAGAACCAAATATATAACTAAGAAAATGTATCCCTGTGCGTGTCATGTCGCATGACACAAGAAGCAGGGAAGACTGCCATGGGATGTTAAGCTCCTTCCTAACGAAGTTCTTTCCCTGAGCAGCCTGGAAACAAAGGTCCAGAGAGGATAAAGGATTTCCCAAGGTTATCTGGTGAGTTAATGTCACCTTTGGGTGAAACCCTCAATCCTGACACTGAGTTTAATTCCTGACTGAGTACTCTTTTATAGCGCACCATGATGCCAGGTGTACACAATTTGGCCTGTGATATGCTGTTCAGATTCTTCATAATAAACGCAGAAACATCACTGTCACTGTCTCAGGCAAAAGCTGAATGAGAAGAGAGTTACAAACAGCAGCCGTGAAAGATGGACCCAGAAAGACCACAGACGCACCATCCAGCACGCGGCTGAAGGAGGGCCCAGTGGTTCAGAACAGACACCAGACAGACTACAGGCCACACAGCTCTCTTTGACGTCCGTGTGTAGATCCGAGTCCCACATTCGGATCCCCAAGCTCTAAGGGGTTTATGATTCACAGCAGTTGTGTCCATGGGACGCACAGGCCCCTTAGAGCAGACAGAAATGCGTCCTAGCAGGACTAGAATGGTCCCTTCTGAAACTTCCTGAAATGGGAGCCAGCCTTATTTTCCAAGCTGGAAGTCTTCGTCATGCTTCTTTCTCGGAGATTCCTGCTGAGAGGGGCAGCAGGGATGGTGGATTAGAAGGGGAAGGCAGGCAGGAGCAGGGCAGGTTTCCCCGAGATAAGGTGGGCAGGTTAATTTCACTGGGATTGTTTTTCCAAAAATAACCTAATTTACTTTGCTTTATAGCCTGGAAAACAGTTTTAAATATTTATACAACTGTGAAATATGCCTCACACTATCAACCCTGCTGGGTCTTTTGGCTTAAACACTCAAAGAATTTTTCTTTAATAAGGATCCAAGTACATGTTGTTCTGGAAAATTTTCAATGGCAACATTTTTATCTGGAGCCAGAATTCAATCACTTTTCCAAGCCTTGCTTTTCTGGGCTTTCTCTAGCTCGATGACAACAGGAGAAGCTAGGAAGCCTTATAAACCTCACTTTGTTTGTCTTTACAGGTATGGATTCCATGCTGGTTTATCTCTCCTGGGGAGGCCTCCTTGCGACCATTGAGACATTTCTCAAGGGACAGTCTTCGGGAAATGGGATGCAAGGGCGGATGGGGGAGGATCCTGGATCTCACTCATAGAAACTGCACTGCTACTGAATTACCCTGAAGTCTCTTAGAACTGCACTGGTTTGGGGAAGAAGCTGAGACGATATTTAGTGTCACCGTCCCTCCCAGTTGGACACTACAGGTGCAGGGAAGGCCTCACCGGAAGCAGCAGGAGGTATTTCCCAGAGGATGACCAAGAGCCTAGCAGAGCCCAACTGCCACACCAGTAACCGCCACCGCGCTCACACGGGCACGGAACCCTAGCCAGGAGCTTCGCGGGCCTCACAAAGGGAGTCTCTAATAGAAAGTCACCCCACGAAGACACAGAAACTGGACACGGAGCAGGAAAAGTACAGAAGAGATTATCTTACAAGGGTGAGCGCACCGCGCTTAAAACGTAACTGGAGCCCTACAGGGGAAAGGGATGGAGACATTGACCCGACACGGGCTGCGGGACGCATCTCCGGGAACCCCTCAGTTGGATGTATTCCTGTGTGCTATACAGTCAGAGGCTTTGTGGCGGCGTCTCCGATTCTGCCGTACCAGATGTGGACAGTTGTGATCACCTAGAAGCTCAGAAGTACGTTTAATAAGCACGGAGGACCAGAACTACGGAAGAACCCAGATTGACAGCTGGCAAAAACTAGCGCGGACCGGCCAGGGAACTGCCACCAACCCTATTTGCAAAGTAACCATTTCTCTTGTCCTACCCACTACCACTGACAACAACAAAAAAAAACGTCAAAGACACCCCGGCAGGATGAGAGGAGCAGACGGTAAGACTTGCTTGAATGCTCATCTTCCAAATATTTCCGGGCTTTTGAGATTTTAACTTGTGCAGCGATTGGGTTTCGTCATCAGCTTGAAACAATGAAAACAGACACACCCTGGCGCCCATGTGCTGAGCAGATGTTCCGGGGCTCAAGTTCGAAGCATCCCGCATCACACAGCTCTGCCAGGAGGACACCGGGTGGCCTCGTGGGCTGTTTGAGGTGACAGTTGTCCCCAAGGACTCAGCACCTTCGAGCTTTGCCCTCACCTTCGTCAGAAAAGGGCGCCTGGCTCAGGAAGAAGAATTGTAGCATGAGAATATTCTGCAGATAAGTTCATTAATCGCACTGAAATTCCAAGATTATAAAATGGGGCCCAATTTCCAGTATCGTAATAGAATTACTGCCTGTTATGAAACAGACATAATGTAGTTAGTGCTTCTTTGAAGCAGATTTTTCGAAACTAGATGGGGTAGTAAGATAGCCCTTACTGGGCCAGGGATCTGGGGATTTAGCTCAGTGCTTCTGCTGCCTACCTCACAAGTGCAAAGACCAGAGTTCAATCCCTGATTCAGGAAAAAAAAAAAAAAAAAAAAAAAAAAAAACGCCCTTACCTTAGTAAACTCACAAGATGATCGGTGAATAAGCAAAATTCAAGAAAAAGATACATAAAAATTTACATTCCAGAGCACTCTAAAACACACGACTTCAACTGCTCTGGGATGACAAGTGTAATTGCCTTACGGAAAGAACTGTTTTAATGCATCTTCTCTTCAGAACCTCAGAGAGTCTGAGAGCAGAGGAGAAAGCACTGAGCACAGCTGCCCTTGGTGATTTCTGATGAATCCCTGACAAACCTGTGCTGTCCTGGTGAGGCGAGGTGCACCCCGGGCACCAGACCTGGAGGGCATTGCCCAGAGACAACGCAAGTGTGGACATGGGTGCCCACCTGTAATCCCAGAATTCGGGAGGCTGAGGCAGGAAGATCGCTGCAAGTTGGATGTCAGCCTGAGCTACAGAGTGAGTTCAAGGCCAGCCTGAACTACATAGTGAGACCTTGTCTCAGAGAGAGAGAGAGAGAGAGACAGAGAGAGGGAGGGAATGCAACCCCAGGAGTGGGCTAGCTCCTTTCTTGCACTTCTTGGACTGCTGCTGGCCCTAAAGAAGACACCAAGCCCAGGTACAGATGGGGAACATTCAGCACACTGCTCCAGACTCCTTCATCCCTCCCACACTCCACTGCTCCTGACTTCCTACTAGCAACACAAATTCCCAAAGAAGTGCATGTCCTGAAAAGCCTCAGCGGGTGTCCCGGCCCTGGACAAATCACTGCATGCCCATTCCTGATCGCCTCCTGCTGGCCACACTGCCCACTTACACCAGGCTCCTGTCGTCTTTAGTCAGCCCTGCTGGCAGGGACGGACCACTTGGGCTCTTGCTGTGTCCTCAGGATTTAGTGTCCAGCTCAGAGTAGCGACTCTGAACAATAGTCTGAACTGAACTGACTGAACAATAGATAAACCAAGGAATATAAAATGAATTCTTCCCAAAAACATTTGCTGACCAAGAGCATTTGCCTGAATGTCTGAGAAGAATTACAGCAGACGGCATTTTTCAGCACTGGCTGCACTCTGGCAGTTCGACTAAATCCTTTCATGTTTGGAGTTGCCAAATAAAAAATAAATGCCACCCCATTAAATTCACATTTCAGGTGAACAAGAATTATTTTCATATAAGTGTGTCCCATGCCACATTTGAGATATACTTATACTAAAAGATCAGTATTGTTTACCTATTTGAATTTCATTGAATTTCTATTTGCTCTATCTAGCAACACCATACATGTATCTAATCTCACAATGACCCTATGAGATAGGTACTCGTTCTACCCTCATTTTACAGATTAGAGCCCTGAGTTTCAGAGAAATTTGGGTATTTATGTGATTTGCAATATCCATGAAAAGGTAAATGTCCACAGTTTGATATCAATATTCCACTTTTAAGAGCTGATTATACAGATGTTTAAACACGCACGTACAAGGATGTTTACTGCGGCATTGTTTATACTAATCTGCTAGACACTACTAAAAGGAACTCATTTACAATTAGATGCAACACTTTTTCATTCATGGTTCATCTACTCCATGGAGTATAAGGCAGTCGTGAAAAAGAAAAGGTGGTCCCAACATGAAATGTGTTCTAAATTACACTGTCAGGTTACAAAGAAGCACAGAAGAAGTCCACATGTGCATGGCGAGATTCACTCTTGAAGCAAGGGGTATATATAACCACACATAGATATGATTTTCCAGGCATAGAAAATTTTTTGAAAAACACGAGAAACTGTTGAGTGGTTGCCGTTAGAGAAAGGAAAGTGAGAACTTGGAGGAGAGAGACTTTGTTTCCACTGTGTTCTCTTTTGTGCTGTTTGCCTTTCGGTATTACACAAATCGGCATTTTAAAAGCCAATTTGACAGAGAAGTCAAGAAATGAGAACTTTTCTTTTAGGTCACATGTGAACGGCAGGGCTGTGACTGGAACCCACGTCTGTCTAGCTGCAAAGCCCATGTTGCCCATAAATCTGTATATATTGTTCTTTTCACTTCATTCTCTAAGGTAATTGTGTGCTGCTGTTTTGAAAGGGAACCGGCCCTAAGGAGCAGGGGAGATCGGAGGAGGCAACCACAGCGCACGCACACTTGCAGCCTTTAAATCCAGCGGGGCCTGGGGCCGGGACAGCTTCTGGTTCCCTTCAGCCCCAGATCTGTCAGCTTCGCACCAGGGGAAAACCTGGAGCTTGGCCCCCAGCCCTAACGACAGGCCGAGAGCAGATTGCACAGCGTTGAGAATGAACAGGATGCTCGGGCGATTTCCTTGGAAGCGTGCAGACGCTCTTCCCGCCTTCTCCTTAGCGAAGCGCTCGCGCTGAGCCCAGATCATCGCACCGGGAGGTCGTTGGCGAGCCGTGGGAGACACGCTGTCACTGTCGCCAGCTTTGCCAGGCAGAGAGGATGGGAGGAAGGGAAAGGAGAAAGATGCTGGCCTAGAGCACACGTAAGTTACCCTGACCATTCGCTTGGAAAAAGTAAGCGAGCTCACAGATGTCCTGCCTCGATGGTACAAATCCACAGAGATCCGGCCTGCGCTATTCAGAGGCAGAAACGCACACTATTCAGCCTCCCCGTCCGGAAAGCGAAGCCCTCTGCTCACTTCTGGTACCTGGATGATCCGCCTGCTGGCTGCTACAGGGGGCTTTTCCCTGAATCGGTCCCCTGAGACCTCTGAATGGCTGGTGAATCCGAGGTGGGGCTCCCCTCCGGAGGCCCCTAACACAGGCGAGACCACAGGAGTTCAGAGGGAAACGATTGCGCAGGGAGGCGCCAGGATCTGCGGAGGAAATGCCACCGAGGAGAGGCAGAGGTGGAGCTGCTCAGGACTGCTAGGCGGCAGATGGAGAGGGGTTTGTGGGGGACCCAGGTTGACCCCAACTTGGGACTAGCGCCTGTGAGGGAAGGAGGGCGCACCGCAAGGCAGGAGTGCGGGAGTCAGGGGCCTCAGCCTGGGAAGGAAGGGCCACTCCGCACCCTACACCACTGGGTCACGGGGGCAGGATGACCGCAGAAGTGCGGCAGCCTTGAGAGAGATGCAGCCAGAGGCCGCCCGCGCCCAGAGAATGGTGACAGCTGGGCGCGCGCGCGGCAGCCCTCCTGCTGTGCCGACACTCAGGGGACCTTGGTGGACCGGCACCGGCCTCCAGCAGGGCACGTCTCAATTCCGCTGCTAATGTGTTTACACAATTACAATGCTCCCTCCGTTCTATGCTATTTCACCTTTCCCTAGTCCCAACTTCCACTCCAGAAGTCAAGGTGAGCAGCCACCACGAATCCGTGCGCTTCCCCTCCCTAATCCAACTTTAAAACTTTGAGAGGTCTCTGCACGTTCCAGGTCACCTGTCCATTCCCTTTGCCAACAGTCTACAAAGCCAAGGAGCACATTCCTAATGTCAGTCCACTAAAAATATGCCACAGACAACCACTGATGCCCAAAGAGCCGGATAGAAATGCCCAGAGGAAAAATCGCTTTTTCTGAAACGTTTCTTTGCATGAAGAACAGACTTTGATAAGAAAATTGTAAGCAGCTGTCACGCGCCATTGTTTCCGGGCTCTTCATGCCCTGCATGAATCCCGGATGTGAGTCCGAGCAGCTGTCACGCCATTGTTTCCGGGCTCTTCATGCCCTGCATGAATCCCGGATGTGAGTCCGCCGGTGACGGCGGTTCGCGCATGCGCAGAAGGGGCGCTTGGCTCGTCAGAATGACGCAGGCCGGCATTGGCCAATAGAAATGGGCTACGTCACCCGAGAGGCTATAAAAGGCAGGCTCGCATCCGGCTCGGGGTCTTTCCGCCATCTTGAAGAATGCAGAAGAACCTCCAATAAAGCGTGCTTCAGAAGAATCCTGAGTGTTGCGTGCTCCTTGCTGGCGAGGTGCGCGTGACAAGTGGTGCCGAAACCCGGGAAGCGACGACCATCATCGCCGGCATCAGCGGAGACCCCTGACTTCAGGAGGATTCAGAACTGAGCAGCAGGAGGGGAGGATCCACCAACTTTCCGAGAGGTACGCTGTCTGG